TCTTCTTATAACATGATAAGCTGAAAAAAGTTTCTATCTGCAACTAAAAGCATGAATTCAGCATCAGTATATAAATATTTTGAGAAAAGTTTTTACCAAATAGTAGCTATTCAGAATAGTGAAGAACATAGCTTCTGGACTGAGATTTGTATAAGAAATTTATCAATCACTGACTAGAAAACATTGTTGATCAGTGCAGTCGGCTCGTCATTGAATAGATGAATAACTCTAATGAGTGTGTTGAGTAATTTGTTTACATTTGCTTATCTAAAGTAGGAAGGGATACATGAGCCTAACAGAAACTAACTTGAATTTCAAATAGTCAAGTAAGTTGATGGATTGATTGTTCTCTCTCTATATATATTAATGATGTTTCTACTCGTTAAATGTTTAACTTGGTAATTTTCATTCTATTAAAAAAATATAGTCTAAAGAAGAACTGTCCCCTTCATCCTTTGGTCATTTCGGTGAGTGTTATCTGTTTGTATTTCACTTTATTATTGTGTGAAGTGTGATATCATGTACAGATTGTTGAATATATATATATATATATATATATATATATATATATATATATACATATATTTTAAGACAAACTCAGAGCTTCAACACTTATCTTCTAGAAATTTCGTGGCAGAAAGACAATTAAGTGTATTGGAGGATTCCAAAGTATATCATGCGAAATTTGATAAGGACCCAGAAGACACTTGGAAACATTGTGGTAGTGTTTGGTTTTCTGAGCTGGATATTTTTGGAAACACCTTATACTATCAATGTCGGATGGAAGCTTTTCAGAAACATTTATAAAGTAGAGTCATCCATCACTTTTCTGGTTAGGTATTTCAGTCAGTCAGTCAGTCAGTTACAACGTAGCTTATGGCGAATTGTCATCATGGATATCCACTCTCTCCATTCCTGTTTAACTTTATCGTATACATGTTTGTAGAGTTAACATCATCTTCACCTGACTTTTCAGAAGTGGATCTTCTACCAGGAGACTCGATTGTTGACTTAGAATATGCCGATGATATAGTTCTATTTGGTGAAGATACTGACAAAATTCAGAGTTTTCTAACTACCCTAAGAAACAGTGCTAGCATGTTCGGGATGCGGTTTTCCTTGTCGAAATGCAAAATGTTGCTTCAAGATTGGGTTGCATCGGCACCTGAACTAGTGATAGGGAGTGAAGTGGTCGAACGTGTAGACTGCTTCACTTATCTTGGGAGTCTCATCAGCGCTGATGGCCTGGTGACTGACGAAATCTCAGCTCGGATACAGAAGGCTCGATTGGCTTTTGCCAACCTGCGTCACCTATGGCGCAGGCGAGATATCCGTTCGCTGAATAAAGGACGAGTGTACTGTGCAGCAGCAGTTAGCTCCATCCCACTGTACGGATGCGAAACATGGCCGGTGACAGTAGAAGATATTAGTAGGCTGCTTGTCTTCGATCATAGGTGTCTCCGAAGCATTGTTCGTATATCCTGAGATAACTGAGTAAGCAATGTTTTCGTTAGGAAACAAGTACTAGGTAGGGATGGCAAATCAGTTGATGAAGTATTGAAACTTCGTCAGTTGAGGTTGTTGGGACATGTGTTACGAATGCACAACCTCCGACTGCCTCGATGAGTGATGTTTTGTGGTGTAGGAGTAGGTTGGAAGAAGGCTAGAGGCGGCCAGACCAAAACAAGGCACAACTTTACCTATGCTGCTATATATTCAGTATGGTTCCAAAAGCTCAAGATCGTGTGTAACTCTGCAAATACCCTCACCTTTCTGTACATAACCTAACCTTGGATTAAAGCGTTATTTTCTTTTGTGTTTAATCCTCCATGTGAAGAGGTTAGGAAATTGGATTGAGCGTTTATTAAGTTAACTAATCACACTTGTTTATTGTTATCACAAAATAAAATTGTGTCTGGGGACTGCGTTTGGTCGTGTTGATTGACACGAGTAATGGTCGTTCATCCAAGGCCCCTTATGAATTAAAAAATTAGTCATCAAATAGTTTTTTTTTATTTACTTAAGTGTTCTGTATTTGATAGTTGTCGGTAAGATACGATAAACACATAAGGAATAAAAAATGTGACATTGGTTGCTACTAATTGACCAATCAATTGTATTATGTCCTAAGATTGCTGATTGCCAGTTTGTTCTGGCTTGAAATATTAATCGATATTATATGTGCTCAGTGGTGACTAGTTTGGTGAGGAAATTATCGTAGTTCTAGTGAGAGGATGTGACCAGTGAAGTTCACCCCTGTCGGGTGTAGGCAGTAAATACTAAAGACAAATGAGTGAGGTCGCACAAAATTCCTAGACTGATCAGACTTAGATGGATGCCGGCTTAGTGGTCTAGAGGTTATGGGCTAGAAGGCCCCGGCTTCGAATCCTGCGAGGTGCAGGAGTCGTGGATGCGTACTGCTGATGAGTCCTTTACCAGGACGAAACGGCCAGCCAGTGCTTTCAGGTTTCGAATGGTGGTCTAGCATTGATCGATTCACGATTTCAGTGTGATATTATATGTCCTATTGCTAAATCTGAATGCCGATTATCGATTACTTCTTCTGTATTGCTAACAGAACCGGTGGCCTATTTATCAAGCTGACACCACCTTAAAGTATATTGATCCTCAAACTCATTCTAACCGAGTAGCCAACCAGAAGATGCATATACGGAACCAACTAGTGACCTCTTGTATTCAATTAAACAGTAACTCAAAATTCTTTTAATTAGTGACCGAATAATAATTTTGTACTTTAAGTACTAACATACCATAAGGTGTAGAAGGCATAAGTAAACAACATATGACTAAGGTAAAGTAAAACTCATAGCAGTTGTTATTAAGTCTATTGGAAGAGGAAAACATCAATACAACAATGCATTTATCCATTAATTATACGATCCTCATGATAATACTTTGAGACTTAATTACGAAAGTTTCAACTTTTTCAATATTCGTCCTTCTATTATTACAAATTGCATATACTAAAATGATTTGGCACAAAAGTAATCGTATTGAATTAATATAATTGAAAAAAACCCAGATGATTTCTAGAGATCATTAGCCTTTAGAATTTAAACCTAACAATTGGCCATTGGTCTAAGCCATATCGATTGATGTTAACTTCCTAGTTGGGGTTACGAGTATGAAGGCGGACATCATTGCCTGGTTGCTCACAATGTGGAAGTGTGTTTCTTGAGGAACCTGATAAGGAAGTAGGAAACAGGTATTTAGTTAAGGATGGCAAATCAATTGATGAAGTAGTGAATCTTCTTGCGAGAAGTGCGTTCAGTTGTCGGGGAAATGGTAGCATTGTTTTCAGTTGCGCAGATCAATTTAGTAGCTATCTTCAAGGTGGATTTCTTCATGCAAATCTTGCCACTCTGTTTATCGTCTTTAACCATATTCTCAATGTACAGTCTTTCGTGTTATCATTACTAAACCATTATTTTGACTTACTCACTGATCGTCTCGTCTAATATGGAGTGTGCATTTAGGCTCAGCACATTTGTGCGAATTTCTAAGTTGGTGATATCTCGTGTGCTGTTACGGCTATGAGGGCGGTTATCACTTCCCGGCTGCCCACACCGTGGAAGGTTGTTTCTTGAGCGACCTGAAAAGGATGATAGATTAGTGTTGGTCTTGGAGACCTGGGAGCATGACCGCAGAGCCCAGGGGACAACTGCTTGAGGCCGGTCACGCACGGCCTTTTTATGAAAGGTTTTTCGAGAAATAGCTCCGCTATTAAAGGCGCTTAGTGGGCACCCTTACCGCCGGAGACGGAAATCCGTGAGGTAAGGTGAGGTGTAACATTTTTAGGGTCGACCTTTTCTAACCAATTCCTTCCTTGTGAGAAAGCAGCATCGCTGCAGATGCTGGTTGTCTGAGGGAAACACCTTACTGCTGTCACATCCCTCTGCAGTCAGCAGTACGACTTCGCCCTCAGACCTTGTGTAGCTGCTTTTAGTCTCATCGTTCTCCAATCGACCTACCTGGCATGGTAGAACCTTCAGGAACATATGTTCCAACCAATTTAGCTCGTTTGGATCATGACGATAGGCAAGCCCGACCACCACGTCAAGGTAGCAGCTTCGGTCGGGTGGTGATATCTGATTAACCTGTTAACTTTTTTATCGCCTGCCATCTTGCTTTCGCTTTGCTTATACCATTGCGTATTTATATTCAGCTTTCTTAATTCACTTTTGATCATATTATCTCTCTTATTTTATTCTAGTCATTTCTCCTTTGATGTAGTGAATATGTCAGTTAGTTTATCTCTTTCAAAAAATGTAAAAGCACTTTTTCTGACCACTTTCGCATTGTTTACATAACATTTACACTGTCACACTGAACGTGTAAGACTATATATAACAAGAGTGTTATTGTGAACATGACAACTTGTTATTTCAATTTCAAAGGACATTATGAAAATGCCTATGTTTAACATTTATTGTCTCTTATTTTTTCCAGATGAAAACCATGTTTATACTACATTATTTCGGCATAGTACATGTTACGATGTTCTACCAGGTAGTGGAAAGCTGGTTATTTTAGATTCCCGCCTACCTGTAAGTTATACTTACTTTGAGTACATACATTCATATAATACTTATTGTATGTATAGACAATTATTTTTTACGTTAAGGTTAACATATTTGTGTGTTTTACATAATTTGAGATTCTGGATGGTTCATATTGTGGTGCGAGCTACTTATAAGTAGTATATGACGCGAGTAAAAACGTAATGTCTGGCAGCAGAAGATGGGGGCGGATGATCAAGAAAGGAAGAGTTAGATAGAACACAATGGAATTTGTATGAAACGCATGAATAGTAACAATGGATTGATGTTTTGCAACAGGAACAATCCAGTTCGATATGATGAACTGATATTTTGCAAATGAACGATTTACGATATGGTTTTCCTATTTTACTACTGAGTAACTCTGTAATTTCGTTAAACATAATTCGGTTGCCCCACCTGTGTTCTCGTTCACTACAATATGACCTGTTGTTTATGGCCTTATATACGGAAGACATATAAGCAGTCCAATTCGATGGTCATCAGGCTTTATTCTCATATTTATATGAAAATTGAAGAACAAAGAAATATTTAAGCAAACAATTAGTTTTGATCAGTTCAATTGTAAGGTTGTAGAGATGATTGAGTTACTTTGTATTCATGAATGGATCAATGTTTAAAGGTTAAGCGTTCACTAGCGGGAGTCGTTGGTGTGCACTGTTGATATGAGTCACTTATTAGGACGAAACGGCCGTCTTTGATTGCTTCCAGAGTATGAAAATCTTCGTCATCAGGTGCTTCACTCCATGATTATTGTGTTATTTTTCAGAGAATAGAGTTATGGAGATTGCTGTTTGCTACTGAAATCGTGAACCGATCATTGTTAGAGCACCATCATTAGAAATCTTTAAGCACTGGACGACCGTTTCGTCCCGGTATAGGACTCGCATCGACAGTGCGCGTCAATGGCTCTCACTACTCGCACGATTCGAACCTAGGTCCTTCGGTCTTGCACATTGGACGCCTAACCTCTGTGTTATTGTGTTACATGTTAAAAAAGGCAAGTATTTACAGTATAAATCCTTGATTAATACATACCTTATATTTAGCTTTTATAAAATAATAACACAATAATGAGCCTGATTACCAAGTTATTAAAACTGATAATAGTTCACTCAGATATCCTTTGTTATTACATATAGATTCTATGAGGATTTTTAAAAAAAAAATACGTGAAAATATTAAACCAATCAAACCAATCTGTTATGAGTCATTGATCGATCATTCATAATACAATAGATTAACATAACTACACTTAATATAAGCATAAAGTACAATTTTAACATAAGAAGACAATGATGAGACTAAGAAAATCACAAAAAATTCTAGTCAAAAGTTCACGATTCGAGGTCAAACTTGGATTAAACAGACTTTAAATAATAATCAAAAAAACATTTTCGTAATCACGTAATATGAAGTTTGTAAATAACCAAAGAGTGGAGGAGGCTATGAATGGAAAGAGGCGAAAAATGACAAACGAATATATAGGATGTAAAAATAATGATGATAAGTCCTGGATACTCAGTGCCGCTGATGAGTCCCATACCAGGACGAAATGGCCGTCTTTTAGTGCTTCCAGGTTTCTAATGGTAATCTAACAATGATTGATTGATGATTTCAAATGTGTACAAAAACACTAATCTTCATAACTCTGATTGAAGACGATAACATTGTTTATTGATCGATTGAAATTATAAATCAATCATTGTTAGACGAGCATTACAAGCCTGGACGCTCTGGATGACCATTTCGTCCTCGTGTTGAGACTCTTCATGATCTCAATAAAAAACAATAATCTCCATAACTCTACAATCGAAAGAAATATTAAATTATATTCAAAACAAGAAAGGGACAGAGGCGAGGCGTTGTGAATTTGTTCTGAACACATAAACTGGAGTTGTGTTATATTTAGGCGACGGGATTGAACCGCATTGGTCAATGATGGAGGTATACAATAGATTGCTGGAAATGATTCTGTTGTGTGCTAAGATTATAGACCTGTGTAAATTGGCCATTTCTGAATCATACTAAGAAAATACTCATTTGTTCGTTGGCTAAGTGGATTGCGAATCTTATTTACACTCTCAGTCAATTAAAAACGAAAACATTACATTGAACACTTTATTTGCACACCATCTCTTTGAGTCGTGACTTCCAACACTCCATCCTTCTTCCATTTCTGCTGTTGCTTCCTTTACTTCCTGTCGGTACTCCATTTATTCAATTTGCTTTTGCTCCATTTGCTTTCCGTTTTCCTCTTGTGACCGTGAGACTTCTTTCACGTCCGTTCTTATACTACTTATATCGTTCGTATAAGTAGCACACACCACACATTATTATTATTGTATGTTATGAAGTAATTTAAAGTTGTTTTTTATTAATGATCAAAATAAATCATTATCAATTGTTCAATGAATATATATACATTTGTATATAGACATTACGTGCAATATGTGCTCTATTGGATAATGGAGTTATGGCTGCACCAGTTTGGTGTGATCAAACACAATCATATATGGGTGTATTTTCACAAGAATTAGCTTTAGATATGCTAGGCTATTTACATTATACAGAAGTGATAAAAACTGGTCATTTCGAGAGTATTAGTCAAACATTGCCATCGTCGTCGTTGTCGACGTCGTCGTCTCCAAGTGCTACAGACACACCGGACACAATGAATTCTTCTGCATCGTCCACTCTATTTTTTACTACATTCAATGCAAATCTTTATGGTTGGGGAACAAAACAATTAGGAGAGGTGTTTAGTAAGTTTCTTTTGTTTTTTTCATGTTCTTTCAACAATATTGAAGTGTTTATCAAGTGTAGCATTTTTATACAGGCCAATTATAACTATGTAATAAGCGTAATCAGCAGTCACTGAAGGGCAGAGAGGATCTAAAATCACAACACACAAGGTTAGTTCAACCAACGCCTCACACCAAGAGAGAACACGAAGTTGTTTTCACGGCACTCTTTTTTTTTTGAAAATCAAATACGCGAGCTTTTTACAGCGTACCGATATCTTATGAGTCATCCTGTAAGTTTAGAGCACTTAGGGCTTGTTCTTCAGCTTCCAAAGCGTTTGTGTTTGATCGCTCTGAAACAGAAAGAAAACAGAACGAGTTAGCAACATCATACATAGTGATTTTGACTCCGTTACACCACCCCCTCTCCTAATGAGGAACTGTCCTCAGTGCCCGGTCTCGGACAAGGATATGCTGCTTCTCCTTCAGCCGGTATCTCATAAAAACTAGTAGCAGGTGGTGGATCTGTGAATCGAGCATCAGCAGGTACTGTTGTCCGATCTGGCTTTATTTGATTCTAGTGCACCGTCATTACATCGTCCTGAGGTCATTGCGGGTTATGTAACACAACCGTCGTGGGGGATCGAATGAGGACGATTTCGACTCCGTTACAACTAATTTAACAAACAGATATTTGGATACTTGTTTGATCTCGTTTACTGTGACTAGTTCTCTATGGTTTAACAATTGGATTATTATAGCTTGTTGTGGAATCTAAAAATACTGTAGTTTTATTGTAGTTGTTGGGACTTGTTAGCTAGACTTGTCATTAATTTATTTATAAAGCATGGATATTGAGAATGCAACCACTTATGATTATTATAAGGGATATTGAAGTTTGACTGGCTTGAACATTGATTATTCATGTTCAACTGCAATGTTCTTTTCTTTGTAAATCTTCAGCTACTGACAACTGTTTTATTTAAAAGTAGTCCAATATCACATATTTTAGTCACTTGTAAATGATATAAGAAATGTTCAGTTGAGGTGCTATCAGGCATGGGTCAGAATAGAAGCCAGTGGCGGTCCTGCTGTAAGTAACAGGAACTTCTTTAATTGGAAGGATTTCTTATGATTTATCAATTATCAACAGCAACATAGAACTTTGCACATAAGTACAGCAGTTCAAGTTGCCATACCACATTAGCCCACAGATATAATTGTCAATTCAAATCCCATAGTAGTAGAGGTAGGAAAAGTATTAGAAGTAATCGGAGAGATTAGGGCTTGAAGATGATATTCAAGAAGTATAATTCAGTGAGGTAAATTTAGAAAGAGAAAGATAGAGGTGATGAGGAATTCAGAAGGTTAGAATTTGATAGAACACAAAGAGTGAGTGCATCTGCGCCATTGCAAACGTTTTTGAGCCATGTCACTCAGGGTCTCTAACCACCGATTACTATCATGTCGCAAGCACCAAACAGGTAGTCGACATCTACCAACATGACTCAGTCCACTTGTCGTCAGTGACTTCATGGATTTCTGCCATGTTTTGGTCTGACCACTCCAAACTTTCGTCCAGTCTATTCCTATATCGTAAAACATAGTACGACGAGGCAGTCGGTAGTTAGACATACGTAACACATGTCCCAACTACCTCAACTGATAAAGTTCCATTATGAGATGGTGGAGAAAACTTGTAGCTCAGGTGGATGATTGTGGTGTTCCATTACTTCATCTACTGACCTTCCATCCTTACCTAGCACCCTTTTCCTAACAACAGCACTGCTTACTCGGCTGTCCCACGATACTCGAGCAATGCTTTGGAGACACCTATGATATTTCTTCTGATTGCATATCCCCCACTATTAGTACTATTATTTTACTCTCATACATTAATTAATATGACCATAAATAATTGAATTAATCGTTGAACACCCGTTAGTTTCTTTAACGATACAATTTCTTTTGATTAATTCACTTTTAGATCTCATGTATAATCGTCAACTTTGTTCCGATCTATTTGTATATCCACATTATTGTTTACAAAAAGCACTCTATCGATTATTTCATCATCACAATCATCACAATCATCCTCATCATCCTCGTCCATATCATCAAAATCATTATCATCCTCTTAATTCGGATAATTTTTCTCATCATGACGCATTATTTAAATTCAAATATTTCAATCTTGCTAATCATCGTGCTTCATATCCGAATAATTCAATAAAAATGCCTATTTACCATCATCATCATAATAGTAATAATAGTAATAATAAATTCACTCAACAAACATCCACTGTACATCCAAGTCCATCCAATCATTCATCATCACGAGTAAGTTTCACTGAAACTAATCCTGCTACTGCTGATGATGATGATGACGATGATGGTGATGGTGATGATTCAATGGACCCCCGACCATCTTCACCACCACCACATGATTCACAGTCATCTAATAATCAAACAGCTAATTCTAACAATAAATCCGATAATTCAATGTCGGGTATTGTTATATCGGATATTGAAAGAGTATCATGTAAATGTTGTCCTCTTTCTAATCCAACTTCACTGTATGCATCTTTAGTATCTTATCTCATTGTCATTGATGATCATAGTGGTAATGCACTTGGTTTATTATGCGCTGATCGTTTATTGGCATATTTACGTTTACGTGTAGATGAATTGCCAAATACCGGTCGAATGAATGTAAGTTATTCTTTTTATTTGTTTGTTTGTGTGTGTGTTTGTGCTTTTCATTGTGGATTTGGTAAATCGTTTCCCCTCAGAAATGATGAAATTTATTCACATAGGCACCGATTTGATGAGTTATCAGACCTGTCATAATCAATGAGAATAGTAATGTTGTGTTTTATTCGAATCGTGTACTGGACGCTAATACTCTACATGAAACAATGGGTTAGTGATTAAAGTCCTCTACTTCCCCATCGTTTAGTCACAGGTTAAAACTGTTCCCTTCTTATTTGAACTTGGATAGTCGGTTAGTTAAGATCACTTCCCCATAACCGACTGCCTCGACAAACTTTGCTTTGTAGTGTAGGAATAGGTTGGAAGAAAGTTAGGGGTGGCCAGACCAAAACATGGCAGAAATCCATGAAGTCATTGACTAGTGGTCTGAGCCATGTCGGTAATTGTCGACTACCTGGTTGGGGTCTGCGAGATGATAATAATCGATGGTTAGAGACCTTGAATGACATGGCTCAAAATCGTTCGCAATGGCGCCGGTGCATTTATTCTTTGTGTTCTCTCAAATCCTAATCTTATGGATTCTTCAACAACTCTAGTTTTGTCTTTCTATCCTTATCTCACTGAATCATACTTCTTGAATAGTATCTTCTAACCCTAACCTCTCCGATTACTTCTAATTTCTTTTCAATTGACAATTATATCTCTGTGCCGATGTGGTATGGCGACATGAACTGATGTACTTACGTACGAAGTTCTACGTTGCATCTGACTGATTGACTGACTTCCCCATAACATAAAACTAAAATGGAACTAAAAATTAAGTACACCACCCTGTATTTAGTAAATAAGTTATGTCGACTAATAGTATATTAGTCTTCAAATGTACCACGTTGTCGCATAAATGAACCATCTTCAACAGATGCTCTGATTATCAGAAGGGGCATCGGCCTCGTGACTTCTGAAGATAATCGAATTTTATCACGAGATGTCATAACTCTTCTAAAGCGAAGACCTCCAAACTCTCACGGAAGAGTTTCAATGGTTTGAATTAGTTATTTTTTAGCGAGTTGGTTTTATGCCGGATGAGGTCGCTAACCTCATACTCAATCCTCCTGCCTTATTCGGGCCTGGGACCGTCAGTAAACTCAGAAGGGCTCCAGGCAGAGTTACCACCTTGAAAACCGTAACCGAAATCACTCAGCACTATCTCTTCATGTATAAATGATTTTCCTGAAGATGAATAAGAGTATTTTCTTAATGCCCACCCACTATTCATCGATTCGTTAATATTATCTGTTCACATGAATGCTTTACTGTGCAGAATCAACAAAATCAGTTATCGATCGATCATTTAACTTTCGATGAAATAAAATGGGGGTTCATCACCATTATTTATGTTACTTTTATTATTTATATCTGACCATTTTTGTTAAATGTATGAATCCCGCTTCACTTGTATAGTTGTCATAATGCTACACTATGTAACTAATCGAAATCCTACCGATTGACCAAATTCAGATATTCCAGTATGACCTCAAATACTGTTCTCAAATCTCCGATATATATGTCAGAACACAACACCGTTAGATGAAGTTGTTCAAGGGGTCGAGTACAGAAGGAATAATATGCCGTACAGATAATGCATATTTATACAGTTAGGTTGAATAGGAAACAACATTTGAAGTATGTGACATTGACAGTTAGGACGACCATAATATTGACCACCAGTAGGAATTGACCAATAGAATTGGACTCCCGAAAATAATTCTTTTGGGATATTTGATGAATATCCTAGCAACAATATAACATGTAAGTTTACGTAAATTCCTACCAAAAATAAATACTGCATTGTAAAGTCTTGACTGTTCTTAGATGTCAGTTTGTAATAATCAGTCATAGTTGAAAACTTAATCAGATTTTTTCGATTTGCATTAGTAAGTTGATGGAACTCCACTATTCCTTTTTAAATGTAATATTATTTCACTACGATTTACCTCAACAAACTAACTTTTCCATACAATAGCACTAAATGTTCACATTATCTTTTCTAAATAATACAGTTAAACACTAAGTTCACTAGTTATTCGACTTTTTCATATACTTTCTATGGTAAAGATATAGATAGTGTCTATCATAACAAAATTTATCAAACTATTCGTTCATGGCGGCAATCTTATTGCATTCTCATTAAGCTTTACTCTCAAATTGCATGAATATTTATGTAAAAAGTATAAAAACCATTGAGGACAATCATATGAGTTATTGTTCACAATAATATAGATTACATAACTATATATATATATGAGGTACAGAGGAAAAATTACTGTTAACTAGATTAGTGTACTATTACTAGTAGTGGTAGGTACTACTCACTCGGTTGCTTATAAGTAGTATACAGTCAAGCGTGGATGACATCTTCATTATCTGTGATAATAAGGAGGAGGATATAAGCTTAACACCATTTGTGTCTTTCACGTGAAGAGGAGCCAAACAATAAGCTTCCTTTTGCCAGACAAGAAGATGGTTCAGTTAAACAATCCATATTTTTGAAATTCAACTTGGACAGACCTTAATTCTCATAGTTTTCGCCTAGTTCAATGCAGACGGGATTAGATAGATGGCTATTTAATAGGTTTGATCATATGTATACAAGTGAGGTTGTTGACCAAAACGTTTTCGCAGAATGATCTCCCTTTAAAATTCTTAGATCGATGGAAAGGATAGAGTGTAGTTAGACCTATTACATCTTTGGTGCAAGAACAAACCCCGTTTATATTAACCTACTGTTCAGTGATGGGTGATTCAAGCAGTCTTCAAACAAAGACTCAAATCTGTCATCAATAAAGCATACCACACAGCAAAGGTCATTATCGTAAAAGAAAAACACAAGGTCTATACTTCATCGAAAATCTATGAAGCATGTTATCGATTTCATGACATTCCAATATGTTTATCGATTTCCATGTGTATATGATCACATCTACATACATGGGGAGGTGTAATTGTGATTTGCAAATTAAGGTAATCTTCTTCATTACTGCTAATACTTCTACTATCTCGACCACTATGGGATTTGAGCTGACAGTTGCGTCTCTGTGTTGATGCGGTATGGCAAACTGAACTTATGTACTCATGTACGAAGTTCTACGTTGTAACTGACTGACTGATTGACTGCAAATTAGGGTGTTTTTTAAACATGTATCCAAATGGTTGTAAAAACACAGGCTGAGTGTACATATTTTATCAACAAATTATACTCACTAGTGTCTTTTTTCGTGAGGAAATTTTCGGTGCCTTAGTGAAAAGCTGTGATCAGTGGAACTCAACCGTGTTGAGTGTGTGTGATAGTTACTCACTGAAGACAATGGATGAGATAACACAATATGGTGTATTGGTTGAAATCAGACATAAACGCCGTTGAATGCCCACTCAGTGGTCATGAGGTTAAGCGTTTGCACGCGAAACTGAAAGTCCTGGTTTTTCCGATTCCCGCTTGTGTAGGGATGAGCACTGTTGATGAGTTCCATACAACAGGATGAAACGGTCAGGTCTGGTGCTTTCAGATTTCTAATGTTGGTGGTCTAACACTGATCAGTCACCATTTGGATGTGACTGTTTTATTTGTAGGTTACTGGTTTTCGATCATCGATGTCTTCGAAGCATTGCTCGAGTATCATGAGACAGCCAAGTAAGTAATGCTGTCGTTAGGAAACGAGTACTAGGTAAGAATGGCAGATCAATAGATGAAGTGCTGAAACTTCATCAATTGAGGTAGTTGGGACATGTGTTACGTATGTCTAACTACCGACTGCCTCGTCGTACTATGTTTTACGATATAGGAATAGACTGGGCGGAAGCTAGGGGTGGCCAAACCAAAACATGGCAGAAATCCATGAAGTCACTGACGACAAGTGGACTGAGTCATGTTGGTAGATGTCGACTACATGGTTGGGGCTCGCGACATGATAGTAATCGGTGGTTAGAGACCCTGAGTGACATGGCTCAAAACCGTTTGCAGTGGCACAGATGCATTTACTGTTTGTGTTGTATGAAATTCTAACATTCTGAATTCCTCATCACCTCTATCTTTCTCTTTCTAAATTTATCTCACTGAATTTTACCTTAATCCATCCGATTACTTCCAATACTTTTACTACCTCTACTACTACCATGGGATTTGAATTGACAATTATATCTCTGCGCTAATGTGTTATAGCAACATGAACTGCTGTACTCACGTGCAAAGTTCTACGTTGCTATTGACGATGATGATGATGTGACTGTTCACTAAACTACTAGTAATAGTGATGGGAAGAATTTAAAGCAAAAATATAGCAAGAGTTTTATTGAATCCTTCAAATTTCAATCAATAAACTCTATCCATAAAAGGCATGCAAAATGTTACATTGAATTTTTTCACAACCTTCATTGATCGGTTTCACATTTAACATTTAACGAGAAGAAAAAAAAACAACACACAATATTGTTGTTCAGTTTTGTGTGTAATGTTGTTGTTTAAATTTTCACATAGTCGGTGTTCATAAATGAATTATTTTTTTTAAAAAAAAATAAATAAATAATGCAACATATCAAAAGCTTATCAGCTAGCTAGCTAGCTATACACTGTATACTGTATATAATGTTAAGTTGATTGTTCAAGCTAAGAAGATATAAGTTAACGCTCATTTATTATCTAAAATATAGTTACATATATATATACATATATATATATAAGGACCGCGGAGTATTCAATTGACTTTAGGTATAAAAAAAAATAGATCTCTATTCAAAGAGGCTGTATATGACATGATATGGAATTATCGTAGTGTGTGTGTGTCGGTGTGTGTCATAGTCTTTGTATGTATGGCTTTTGTTAAACTGGTATACATGTGTATATACGTGTACAACACAGAAAGAGAAAACTATTTTCTAATGGCATTTGATATTTTGTGTTACTAGTTTGCTTTTTTATTATTATTCAATAGTAGGAAATCTAAATATATATCGTGAAGTATGTTTACACTAACTGATCAATGTGATTTAGATAACAATGGATGGGAACGGCGCTAATGTCGTTGTAACAAAATGAATATCAATCTGCATAAATAATATAGGAGGGTATCCTATGCAACAGAAACAATTATTACTTGAATAATTCACTTGTATCGGTTGTATTGTAGTGAAGGAGAACACAGGTGAGGGCAACCGAATTGTATTGAACGAAAATTACAGAGTTACTCAGTAGTAAAATAGGAAAACCATATCGTAAATCGTTAATTTGCAAAATATCAGTTCATCATCCTATCGAACTGGACTGTTCCTGTTGCAAAACATCAACAATCCATTGTCACTACTATTCATGCATTTCATAAAAATTCCATTGTGTTCTTCTAACTCTTCCTTTCTCTTGATCTTCCCACATTCTCTTCTGCTGCCAGACATTACGTTTTTACTCGCGTCATATACTACTTATAAGTAGCTCACACCACAGTATGTATCTTCCTATCGATTTTTTAGGGTTGCAATTGACCAGTTTCATTTAGCGGCGTATATTGTATCCTAGGTGGATTGCCTCGATATAGCCTTTAAGTTATACGCATTATTGGCAGAGATAGATAGTGGTTAGCAAAATGGGTTTATCTGCATCTCAGGGATGATGTTCACTTCGAGGCGCGAACCCACTATGGTGTGCTTCAAACGCCGTTACGTTTATCCTCTTAGCAACTGAGCCCTGAATAGGTTGGAACACGCTTGTTAGATTTCACTGCTAGCCACTTTTTCTATTACTTGAATAGTTATCGTAAGATTAGTTTATAACTATCTTTCAAGCTTAGAGTGTTTGTAGTTTTCAAGGCCGATTGATTAGAGTTTGTACAATATGAGCAGACTTAACACATGAACCAAGAAGAACAAAAGTTTCTGTGTTTGCTCTCTGATACGAGAGTGGACGCTCAAAAGTTTCATAAACGAACGAATTTCTTGTTCACTGCTTCTTAGTTTCTGTCGAATTTTCCAAACCTTGGAACTAAGAAATAGTAGAACCATCCGCAAAGTTTCTAATCGAACAGCAGACGAAAACAGAAGTGTTTATTGCAGTAAGTATTGACTTGAAACTTCATTATAATCGTCCATTCTGCAGATAACAATGTAACGCAATTGTCTAATCATTGTATGTCACGCTGATATTCGATGAATCCTATCGGACTGTTCTTAAGAGAACTGTCTTTGGCTTCTTGGGGTCCTCTGGAGACACTTCATCGCACTTTCTAGAAGCCATCACTCAGTCAGTCAGTCAGATGCAACGTAGAACTTCGTACGTAAGTACATCAGTTCATGTTGCCACACCACATCAGCACAGAGATATAATTCTCAATTCAAATCCAATAGTAGTAGAGGTAGTAAGGGAATTAGAAGTAATCGGAGAGGTTAGGGTTAGAAGATACTATTCAAGAAATATGATTCAGTGAGAAAAGTTTAGAAAGTCATAACTAGGTGGGTTGAAGAATCCAGAAGATTAGGATTTGAGAGAACACAAAGAATGAATGCACCGGCGCCATTGCGAACGATTTTGAGCCATGTCATTCAAGGTCTCTAACCATCGATTATTATCATCTCGCGGACCCCAACCAGGTAGTCAACAATTACCGACATGGCTCAGTCCACTCGTCAATGACTTCATTGATTTCTGCCATGTTTTGGTCTGGCCGCTCCTAAATTTCTTCCAACCTACTCCTACACTACAAAACAAAGTTCGTCTAGTCAGTCGGTGGTTCGGTATACGCAGTACATGTCCCAACCACCTCAACTGATGAAGTTTCACCACTTCATCTATTGATCTGCCATCCTTGCCTAGTACTCGTTTCATAACGACAGCATTGCTTACTCGGTTGTCCCACGGTGTACGAGCAATGCTTCGAAGACACCTATGATCGAAAACCAGTAACCTACGAATATCTTCTACTCTCACTGACCATGTTTCACTGCCATATAGGACTACAAGCCATCTCAGCAGTTTCAATGACTGTCAAGCTACAATTCTTGATATTAACTACAAATTCAACTGTATTTACTCTTTATACTAAGATCCTTCAAAGAAATTTCAGTTCTAGAATTTGTTTGAATCATTGACTTTTTATTCATTTAGAAAAAAAGAATTCACAAACTTTTGAAATTCTTATAAGGATAATTAATATTTGACGAGTTACTGAATCGAAAGTAAACATGAGGAATTGAACGACAAGCACCATCTATTTCCTAGCACATACTGACAGAAACTTTGATTCGTATCAATGTACAATTTAAGCGAGGTCTTAAACTTTTGAGTGCCTTAACCAGTAAGTTATAGTTCCTCCTAGACTCATCAGGTGATCCACAAAACTGAAGAGTAGTACTCTTGCATACGCTTTATCATAGATTTTGAAGTCATCATTTATGAGCTCAACTATCGGTGTGTGTGTGTGTGTGAATACGAGCAATGAATTCCTTTCATTTCATTTCATTTCATTCAATTTTTTCTTAGATTCCAATTGGTTCAGTTCAAGGTCTTCGTTGGACTGAACGATATCTATCAAAGAAACCGAACGATACGAAAATCAGCGCAACCAATAATTTACCATCAAAACACATGATACCAGAATGTTTGCGTTTACAATTTAAAGAGATACCAATTTTACAACCAAACGATTTAGTTCGTGATGCTTTACATATACTAACTAACTGGTTACCACAATTACCATGTCTTCCTGTTATCCACTTTCTGGATGATAATCCACCTCAAACGATTGATCATATTAGTTTTATTTCACCTGGTGATCTTTTGGTAAGTTAAATGATGTTTTTGCTTTGAAAAAAACAACTAACGAAGTTTATACAACTTTATTTACGTAGATATTTCCACATGATCTATCTAGTTGATTAGATAATGTTTTACATTTTATTATTATCGATCAATGTTAGCTTTGGATAATGATAATCATATCATATTACGCGCAAATTTGTCTCATAAAAATGCGTTAGCTGAAAACTGTCTGTCTGTCTGTGTAAGCAGCAGTTAATGTGCGATAAATCTTTATTCTCTCTGTAAAATATTCTCTCATTTTTATTAGTCTTGTTCTATTGAACAAATGGCTAAAAATAGTCGCTTATTTCTCAGTCATAAAAGTAGTTAGTGGGATATCAGTCAGTAATTAAAATTCACAAATCTATATCGATAGGATTCGATCAATACATAGAATGGAATAGACATAACAGTGACTGTTACTCTCAGAGTAAATATGACTGTCCTAGTCTGAATAGTTCAGCGGTAACGATTTCGACTGTGACGTGAGCTCGAATCCGAAAAGGTCACAGTCAGACGAAGGATATTATTTCAGTCAAGATTGTATATACAACTTGTTGACGATCGCCATGTAGGTCTGAGACTACTTCAGCCAATTACCTCTGTTATGCTCGTCACCTGATATGCTTGAAACTATTACGAGTTCACCTTAGTCGATAAACGAGAACGAGACAATGAACCAGTGACACTATAGGCTACTGTGATCGGTTGTCCCAAAGAAACTAACGAAGAAGTCTTGATATATCATAGAAAGTGTATTCTACAAACACCCAGCCAGCAAACACACAATGATCTCAAGCACACAAATCGCGTTTATTTATACATCATAGAAACGTCCTTGAGCGAGTCACAAAAATAGCACACTAAAATAACACAGCAACCAATCACAGCCAAGGATTTTTGCTGGTGAGAAATGTGATCTCAAGATCAACTGTGATCAGTCCATGAATAAAATCCAAAATTAAGACATTTTCAAGCGAGTTTTTTGGCGTTCTAACGTCCCCCAACAACCTTGAACCATTGCATATATCAGTATTCTAACGATTTTTAAAAAGGTACAAAATACCAAGGTTTAAATGAAACTGAAAAAAAGGAGGAGAATCTTTGCAACATTGTTTCTTTTTCTCTCTTCTTGTCTTTCTTCTATATTTTAGAATTTCATTATCTATTCGCCTTCGAATACTGCATTGAATGAACCGATAAGTAAAATTATTGAAAATAAAGCTGTAGTAAGTGATTTTCCCCTTTTTTTTTATTCTTTTGGGATACATTTCTGTTTCATATGCACACACAGACACGCACACACATACATACAGAGTGATTTGGTTCTTTTTCGTCTCATTTCAATAAATCAGTGTTTGTTGCTTTTTCCTCATTTTATTAACTGATAGGGAAAAGTTATCACAGTTTTAGGTAATCTATTAATTTAAACAAATCTATATTAGATTCTATTTTATTGTTCAATATAGATATTATGTTTTAATAGTTAGTTTGAATGATTGAGATTAATTAAATATTCATTTGATTATTATTATTATTATTAATTAATTAACGATGAGATTTATTTATTCTTTAATGTTATTTATAACGCTAAAAATTCTACTATTGCCAGAAATGTCATGCAAACATGAAATAGTTTAATATTTGAAGTTATGAATCGATAAACGTTAGACCACCAACATTAGAAACCTGGAAGCACTGGACGGCTGTTTGGTCCTGGTATGTGACTCATCAGTAGCAGTACGCATTCACGACTCTTGCACCTTGCAGGATTCGAAGCCAGGACATTTGGTCCTGCGCGCAAACACCTAACCTCTGGACTAATTGATCGAAGTTAAACCTGAACACTATTAGATACCGGCTCAGTGGTTCAGAGGTTGGGTGTTCGCCCGCTAGACCAAAGGTGCTGGTTCCGGATCCTGCGGGGTGCAGGAGTCGTGGATGCACACTGTCACTGGTGAGTTCAACACGAGGACGAAACGGCCACCCAGTGCTTCCAGGTTTCTAGTGGTGGTGGTCTAACATTGATCGATTCATGATTTCAAATGTGTAACTTAGCAATCATCACAACCCCGTAATGAAATAATTTAGCTTTAAAAAATGGAAGAACAATAATCATACTAACTAACTAAATAAATCTAATTGTTGAAACGGTTTATTTTATCCCATTTTTGATAATTGGAATGAAGTTTGATCGGTTCTTGGTTGGGATAGTTGATTGGCTATCTAAACTCAATGGCCAAGTGGGATAATGTGATGGTGTTAAAGGCCAACAGTACTTCGTTCGAATCTCGGTGTGAATATCAACTCCGTGGTGTATGTACATCCAGCTAAAGATGAGTCGCAAATAGGATGAAACACACGCGCTGGATTTCACTGGTAGCCATATTCTATCCATTCTATGTAAACAAATAGAGAGAATTGACCAGAATATTCCTGTTTTACCGATATATAAACTACTTTAATTACACGCAACATCCTATAGACATAAATGTTTTGATTATTTACAATGGCTCACCGCAGATTTATCGATTATATTTGGAGAATTAGATTAACATAAAGAGATGTCTTTTAAACATTACCTATATGCTGTGAGACCACCGAGTAAGCAATGCTGGGGTTGGGAATAGGGTACTAGACAAGAATGAAAAGTCAATTGGGGGAGTAGTGAATGTCCATCAGTAGACGTGGTTGGAACATGTGCCACCTATGGTCAATTGTAGTGTGCCGGCTTAATGCGTGTTCTTACGTTTCGTAATAAACTCGTTCAGACTACCTTATCCAAATGACGTCTGACGGTTAATAAATCAGAAGATGAATTCCAAGTAGCGTATACGTTTATTGAAGCACACCACAATTAATAACAGCAGACCACAGACAGACCGGACAGACAGACTAGTGAGCGAATATGCGAATGTGCGAATGAATTAATAAGATAAAAATGTTCGTATATATACAAAGGAAAGTGTCTGAGTCATCGTGGTATTTAAGAGATTAATATTAAAGCGAATAGGATGCATATGTGCGTAGGCGTTAAGCAATGCTCAGTCATACTAGCTCATACAAACCAGATAATAAAAAATACCAATGGTACATACAAGTTGTTGCTAGGCGAATGGCTTGGTTAAATAAATTAATTGAAAGGGCTTAACCAAGTTAGATGTGAGAGAAGTGAAATATATGTGGAGGCACTACACAATCACCCCGACTACCTTGATGGGCTGTTCTGTTTAGTGTAGTAGTACGTTGGAAGAAAGCTAGTAGTCATCAAACTAAAATTTGATACCAATCCGTGAAGTCATTGTCAATTGGATCTAGTGTGACAATCATAAACGGTGTTAAGAGACTTTGAATGGCGAAGATACATCCACTCTTTATTTTCTCTTGAATTACAATCTTTTGTATTGCTGATAACCTTTTTTTCTCTTTTCAAATCTATTTCACTGGATTATGCATCTTAAATAATATCTTCCATCCGTAATCTTTTCGATTACGAATAATGTTACTACTACTGTACAATTTGAACTGACGATTTCATCCCTCTGCGCTATTGTGATATGGCAACTTGAACTGATGTATGTACGTACCAAGTTATACACAGAAACTGATTAACTGAACGACAATATCGTTAGCTCCTACTGTATGTATATATGTATGCAAAATGAGTCTGTTCTAACTGATAAACAGGTCATTTCTACATGAATTTTAAACTGAAGTTATCCTGAGCATCCGCCTGAGTCACTAATATCCATTATTTCAAAGTATGATATCTCTTGCAATAATTGATTCAGTGTGATGGGGAAGATTTTTGTTATTACTTACCGACTAGGATTCTTCAACCAACTCTTTTCTGGGCCTTTCTTTCTAGTTCTACCCCATTGCTATTCATTCTTCTCATGTCTCTCTCCAATTGTCGGTTGGTAGTTGCTTTGAGTTCCGAATGTTGTTCAGTTGTACAAAAGCTGCCCTTGCCCTGCATATCCTTGTCTTCAAATGTATAGCAGATCCACCTTGTGTATTGATGATGCTACCTAGATATGTTAAAGTTTTTACGTTTCTCAAAGCTTCTCCATTAAGTTTGATATAGTTGGTTTATGTTGTGTTGTACCGAAGGGTCCTGCTTTTTACCTAATGTATGTTGAGACCTACTACTGCAGAAGCTGCTGCTACACTGGTTGTCTTCTCCTTCATTTGTCTTTGTGTGTGTGTGGAATAGCAAAGCTAGGTCATCTGTGGAGTTCAAATCGTTTAGCTGCATCAGAGCTATTCAACATATTTTGTGCTTCTCCTGGGGTGTTGACGCTTTCATAATCCAATCAACCACCAGAAGGAAGAGAAAGGGTGAGAGTAAGCAACTCTACCTGACATCGGTCTTCCCTTGGAACAAGTTTATGAGCTTCGCTCCGTACACGATCTTGCAGTTTAATCAATCACAAGAATTCCGAATGATGTTTACTATCTTCTAAGTTTCATCGTAGTGTCAAAGAAGCCTCCATAATGTCCTCCGGTCCACGTGGGTAGACTTATTTATATATCATATACGCGATGCAGGTTAAACTATTTAGATTATATATTTACATGTTTGTGAATAACCAACAACAATTAATCTCCATGGTTTTAAAGAAAACATTCTTTATGCAATTTACATACTATGGCCAATTTAATTGAAATAAGAAATTCAACAAGTTATTCAAATTATTCAATATTCCTGAGAGAATTCATGATTTTTGTTTTTTGCATATTGTATTTTGAACACAACAACAACAACAACAATTTTGAATTATGTTTTTCATTGAAGTGGTATAACGTTTTCTGTGAACATCGATTTCGACTTTCATCTGTATGTGTGTGTAACATGATCTAGTTAGTTGTTTTCAATAGGTAACTTTTTAGTATATCATAGATAATATTTATCTAACATAGTTTTACACAAAACGATTGTTAGATTTACTATTGTAAATAATATTCAGAGAGAGAGAGAGAGAGAAAGAGAGAAGACAGTGAGTTATGGTGTGGTGCGCGCTACTTATAAGTAGTATATGACGCGAGTGTAAACGTAATGTCTGGCAGCAAGCAGAAGATGGGGGAAGATCAAGAGAAAGGAAGAAGAGTGGGAACACAGTGGATTTTGTATGAAATGCATGAATAAGTGAAATGTCAGACAATGGATTGATGATGGATTGAAAATTTGCAAATTAACCGTTTATGATATGGTTTTCCTATTTTACTACTGAGTAACCCTGTAATTTTCGTTAAATACAATTCAGTTGCCCTCACCTGTGTTCTCCTTCACTACAATGGTACCTTAGTGAAATCAACGGTCACTAGACCGTTGTTTCATCCTAGTATGGAGCACAGATGGACTTGATAATCTTGCCATGAACGCTTAATCTAACCTCTGGATTGACACCTTGAGATCTAAGGGCCGTTAGTTCGATTCATGGTGGTGGTGGTGTGGTCACGAGTCTCTCTGTGGGATAAAACTGGTTTTCTATGTTGTTACACTAAGTGAGAGTAGTCTGTGATGAATGAAACCTACAATATATATATATATATATATATATATATATATATATTTGATTGGCTACTGATAATATTCTTGATGTAATCTATACACTGGTTTTATTAATTTTATTCTTTAATAGCACTGTCCTTATCAACAACAATGTATTTGTTTTGTCACTGAAACTGTTGCTGTTGTATTAGATCGTATGTTTCGGCTTAAAGTAAGTTATTTATTTAAAAGTGATCCTGTTATTATTATCAGCAGCAGTACGATCATCGATGTGTTATTGTTAGTTTTTCCACCATTTTCTTCAAGAAATATTGTATCCCATCGAATGAAAATAATTTTGTACTTTTCGTTTTTTAGCGAAGGATATTTTTGTTTTTGGTAGTAATGAATTGTTTAAAACGGCATACTGTTCATTTTTTTTCTCTCTCTTTGAACAGTGACATTGATTAACATCTGCGTCAAGTATATAATTTATTTTTAGATATGCGGAGCAAAACGTACCCTAGTAGTACGTATAATAAGATAAGAAATGTCTAGTTTTCGTTTCATAAATGTTCCAATGTACACTATGATATTGAATGTCAATTTCATGTGATACGCGATAATGCCGTGTTGATACCTTGGTGATACTGTCTCAAACTGAAGAGCTAGGTGACTTGGGTATGAACCCTCTGGGGAGCAACAATTCTCTTCAAAATTGCAAGTACACCTTGTTATCGAGTTACAACCATTGTCATTGTATATTTGTTCTCATTTATTACGTAGGTTCATCATTGAACAACCACTAAGCATCTTCATTTATCGTTCTGTATATATGGACCTTTGTAAAAGTGAATACTAGAGTCGTAGTGTCGCATATGTACCTCACACTATATCGCTATAATTCAACTTCACAAATCACATTCGATTTGTGATGTGGTTCGTGTACTACTACTACTACTACTACTACTACTACTACTACTGTATGTTTCAAAATATGAAGAGTAATCTATTTGAATTATCTGAACAATTGTCGCAGTCTGTAAAATTTTGTTTCTGTTTTGACAGTGGCACATGATATAAATAGTTCGATCAAGGGAGGATAGTGACAGACAGTATGAATGGATTTCATGTAAATTTGTCTAATTCGTAGCTGTGATTTATCATGGAGGTTGTACCGTAGAAAACTAGAACTCACCAGATTGTTGTTTTTTCGTTCTAGTGTTATGATAATTGTTAGTAGTCGACATCTACAAAGACTTCATTGAATCCAACTCAAGGAGCTTCATATATCTCAATGAATCATCATGAATTCACTAAAATTTAAAAGGTGTACACTATTGTTTGTTGACCCAATAGTTTAATAGTTAAGGCTGTGGTTCGGATTACAGCTATGGTTGCCGAAAGCTTACCCTTCACAGTTAGTTAGTCAGTCAGTCAGATGCAACGTAGAACTTTGTACGTAAGTACATCAGTTCATGTTGCCATACTTTATCAGCACAGAGATATAATTGTCAATTCAAATCCAATAATAGAAGAGATACTAAAGGTATTAGAAGTAATCCGAGAGGTTAGGATTAGAAGATATTCAAGAAATATGATTCAGTGAGAAAAGTTTAGAAAGTCATAACTAGAGGTGTTGAAGAATCCAGAAGATTAGGATTCGAGAGAACACAAAGAATAAATGCACCGGCGCCATTGCAAACGGTTTTGAGCCATGTCATTCAAGGTATCTAACCATCGATTATTATCATCTCGCGGACCCAAACCAGGTAGTCGACAACTACCGACATGGCTAAGTCCACTCGTCAGTGACTTCATAGATTTCCGCCATGTTTTGGTTTGGCCGCCCCTAACTTTCTTCCAACCTATTCCTACACTACAAAACAAAGCTCATCGAGGCAGTCGGTGGTTAGGCATACGCAGCACATGTGCCAACCACATCAACTGATGAAGTTTCATTACTTCATCTATTGATCTGCCATTCTTATCTAGCACTCGTCTCCTAATAACAGCGTTGCTCACTCGGGTGTCCCAGGATATACGAGCAATGCTTCGAAGACACCTATGATCGAAAACCAATAACCGACGAATATCTTCTACTCTCACTGACCATGTTTCACAGCCATAAAGTAAGACGGAGCGAACTACTGCACTGTACACTCGTCCTTTAATCAGCAAACGGATATCACGCCTACGCCATAAGTGACGCAGGTTGCCAAAAGCCAATCGAGCCTTCTGTATCTGTGCTGAGATTTCTTCAGTCACCAGGCCATCGGCACTGATGAGACTCCCAAGATAAGTGAAGCGGTCAACACGCTCAACTACGTCATTCCCTATCACTACTTCAGGTGCCGATGCAACCCAGTCTTACCCTTCTCAAAAGTCTCCATACTCTGATCAAACTGTTAATCCAAGACTCTTCTTGGCTTACAAAGATAACTAGATTGAATTTTTGGTCTGTGACCAATGTTATCAACAGATAGATAGATAGAATAGTTTAGTGTTATGCATTAAACATTTAAATTTTTATCTCTGCCTAATGATTTTATGATTTTTTTTTATCATTTAGGCACCTTGTTTGTTAATGTTTGATACACCGAAAAATTGTGCTTCAAACACAGCAGCCAGTAAACCATTCGGTAAACCTATTGGTTTAGTCACAGCCAAAGATATATTACATACAGTGATTTTAGGTCATCGTCATCGCTTGCCTTCTTTACATCCACATATTGATGAATCAGAGACTATCAATCAAAATACAACTAGCGATGATCAAATTTCATATAGAAATAAAATACGTGACAATTATAAACGAACTGTTTCATTTGAATCCGGTGTTCTATCATCTAGTCATGATGATTCAGAAAGTACACATGATGATGTGATAATGGAAAATTCTGAAGAGAAATTCTCTCGATCTCCTTCAATATGTTCACTTTCTTCAAGTGGAACATTTTCTGTACCTGGTTCTAATGAAGAACTTATACATTCCTTATCTAATGAACATTTCACATCAACATGTACTACTGATACTGTAACACAACGTGATCATTGTAATTGTTCATGTCATCATCAAACATCGACCAGTTTTGATATTCGCCAACAACAACATCAGCACTATTCTAATAAAATTCAAAACTCTATGAATGTATCAGTTGGTTCGCTTGATAAAAATCACAATCGAACACTGCCTAGTCCAGGCGGAGAATGGTGTGCTGATCGACGATCTTCTGTACCGTATACACGTCATGATAAGAAGAAAGGAATTATGCATATTTTAGAGAATAAAATGTAAGTATTGATCCGTAATTTGATTGACTTACTTAGATGGTATCTCTTCTAATCAATTCACCATTTGTTCAAGATGACTGTCAGTCATCTTGAATGTGTTTAAAAGTGGCAAGAAAAAGTTAGCAGTAGATTGTTTTCGTGAATTAAACGATTAGAGAGACATTAATAGTTTAGCACAAATTTTGTGCTGTAGTGTGCATTTGATGAAAACACTTGACTATTGAATTATAGTAGGACCTTGATTCAAAAGACTCTCCAACTGCTTTATTCAACCTAGGAGTGAGTATGTCTTTCCTTTGAAGACATTATTGCTAAAAGATCGAGTACACTCTAATTTGTACTATTAATATTCTTACTAATAGGCTATTGATTACTCAAGTAGGTTAGTTTTAAAGTAGTCAAACTCATCATAATCGAATTTCACAATTTCAAGTTATATAGTTATGATTGACAATTCAAGTAAGTATGGTTTTCCTTACTGATCAAGATAATTTTTATTTTATTTCGATCGTTGCTTTAATTAAGATTTACTATACACACATCTTTTAATTTCTCATTGTTTAAATCTTAAGGCTTTCATCAACTTGCGTCACTTATGACATAGGTGAGATATCCGTTTGCTAACCAAAACACGAGTGTACTTCACAGTAGTTTGCATCGTCCTACTTTATGGCTATGAAACATGGCCAGTCAGAGTAGACGGTATTCGTAGGTTACTGGTTTTCGATCATAGGTGTCTCTGAAGCATTGCTCGTGTATCCTGGAACAACCGAGTAAGCAATGCTGTTGTTAGGAAACGTGTACTAGGAAGGGATGGCAGATTAATATATGAAGTACTGAAACTTCATCAGTTGAGGTGGTTGGGACATGTGTTGCGTATGTCTAACCACTGACTGCCTCGTCGAGCTATGATGCCTTGTGTAGGAGTAGGTTGGAAGAAAGCTAGGGGCAGCCAAACCAAAAGATGACACAAATCCATGCAGTCACTGGCAACTAGACTGAGTCATGTTGGTAAATGCAGACTACCTTTTTGGGGTCCGTGAGACGGTCACCGGTGGTTAAAGATCTTGAACGTCACCACCTCTACCTTTCTCCCTTTAAATTTATCTCACTAATTTATACTTCTTGAATAATATCTTGGAACCTTGATCTTCATCACTACTAGTGATACGTCTACTATCTCTGCCATTATGGGATTTGAACTGACGATTGCATCTCCGTGCTGTGTTATGGTAATTTGAACTGATGTACGTACGTACGTACGAAGTTCTATGTTGTTGTGTTGACTGACTAAGTCATATATAGTAGAAAAGAAAATATCTAATCAGAAATATATTTGCAGGTAGTAGTAGTAATAGTATATAATATGAATGTGACAACACCTTTTATACTGATAACAACAGTCTAAACACGTAACATTTAATGATATATTGAACATTTGCTATAAAATGTACATGTATATACTCTTTATATTATCAGTATCCAGTAATTCATGTTAGTTATATTCCAATGAGTATAGTTTTCAAAGTAGTATATACATCATATATATAACTAGGATTTTAGTTATTGATTACACGCAATTAACACTCATTTGCATTTCATAACTTGTACTTTTATATATGATTATTTAAATGACTACCCGATTATTATACTTATTGTAACAAGTAAACAGTGTTGAATAGGAGTTTCTTACAGTTTTTTTTTTAAGAATAATAAAGATAGGAGATTTGATTTGTTCAGAAAATCTGGATAGTTTTTTAAAAATCATTGAAAAAGTTTAGTTTTAGGATGTGCATGGTGAAAGTATCCATTTAAAAAGGCTAACATTAATGCAGGCGACCATCAATAAAGTGTGTATTAGTTGAAGATGAGCATTGAAAGGTGAAATAATGGTGCGAAATATGTTCGATTCACTGTCAGTTATGGAACAACCTCTTGAAACGACCACTGTAGTAGAGGTTGCATTAAAAGCTTTTACAAACTTATTAATGCCACTCATCCAAGTATATGAAAACTTATTGATACTCTTAAAAAGCAACAGAGCCTAAATGGATTGAAAATCGAATATCCTAGTTCAGAAATTCAAAAACAACACTTAAAATGAAAGTATACAGAGGAAGCAAAAACATATCAAACTGATCGTAGTACATTATGAAAATCGATTGACACTACAAATTGTCTACGTAGAATATGTTACGTATGCACGTTAACATGTCATTTGATATGCTTGAACTATTTATTACGAGTTTAATTTAGTCGGAAAATGGAAGCGAGGATCGAGAATCCGGCGACACGACATGCTACTCTAATACGAGTGTCCTAACCCCGATTGGGTAAAAGAAGAAGATCTGATCTGTAGTAGAACATGTATTTTTTAAACATCCAGAAAGTACAAGGTCCGAGTCCAGAAGAGAATCAGAATATCCCGGACTAGGGATCTGGGTCCGGGTCATTAAGGCGTTACAGATAATGCATATTTATACAGTCAGTTCGAATAGGAAACAACATTGAAGTCTGTGACATCGACCAATGGGAAATCATTGTATTACGAAAATTTCACTATGTCTCCACAACATTTACGTCTACATGAAAAGTTGATGTTACATAATAAATAGCCTCTTTTAAGCTGAGGAGTTATCATAACGTGTCGAGGACTTTAAGGTCGGAATTTCAAATGTCTATATTTTGCAAACTGACTTACGCCCTTTCAATGCTTACGTTTATGAATATTCGTCTGTTTGATGGTCATCCGTTTATTCGCTCTTTTATTATTGTGAAACGTTTTACAGATCCATTTTAATCTCTCCACTCTATCAAACTTATTGCTCATTGATGTAGTATTAGTGTAACGTACGAAGAAGTTAAGCTCAAATGGAGTAATATATGTTTGGAGCAGACACTGTTTATTTACAAAATGTAAACACACAATTTTCAGATATCCATTCGCAATACAAGCAGGTTATTGACTGTGTTATGTCATATCTGTCTTGGTCTTCAATATATTCTGACCTCCAGATACTCCTCTCTCTGATGGCAACTTCTAGGCGACACTCCATTGCATACTACTTATAAACCACCCTATAAGTGGTATCCACCACATTAGTAAAACGGTAAGGAACTCGCAACCCTCACCCTCTCTGAGATAATAGTGTAGTGAACGAGAACACAGGTAGGGCAACCGGATTGTATTTAACGAAAATTACAGATTTACTCAGTAAAATCAGAAAACCATATCGTAAATCGTTAATTTGCAAAATATTAGTTCATCATATCGAACTGAACTGTTCCTGTTGCAAAACATCAATCCGTTGTCACTATTCATGCGTTTCATACAAATTCCATTGTGTTCTATCTAACTCTTCGTTTCTTGATCTTCCGCCCCCATCTTCTGCTGCCAGACATTACGTTTACACTCACGTCATATACTACTTATAAGTAGCTCACACCACAATAGAACTGAAATTATTTTGTATGGAAAAAACTCATCAGTGACATTTTTGATAGTTTGAACTACTGGTATCTTTTAATAATTCTTCCTTTTCTCTATTTATAGAAAATCCACTATAGTAGTTGATTCAAACAGAATACCACAATTAACCACTCCTAATCCTTACATACAACACAGTAATGATTCCAACAATTCACTACAAGTCATTGATAATAGTTTGGATAAAATCAATGAATTGACCATTGACGTATCGGACAATAGAAAAAATAAGCAGAAATTGGAACAAGTGGCGGTCACACGAGAAGATGATGATACTGTCTTTCCGATGGATTGAAATTTAAAAAAAAAATTGTTGAGCTGTTGTTGTTATGCATAGCTACAATTGGAATATCAATCATATTTCAACTGATTTTTTTGTGTATTCTATGTTCAATAATCACAGCCATATCTTGCATATTCAATCAAATCAATATGCGCAAAAAATATATATATATATATATATAGATATATTTGTTTACAACGTTGGTTTTGAGAAATCTTCTATCAAGTTACTACATTCTTCCATAGTTTTTATCATGTATATGGATGGGAGGAGGAACGAGAATATACAATATCCCCCTGTTGAATGATATATATATATATATATATATATATATATATATATATATTTATATATATATACAATTTTTTCCGGTTATAAACGACACACTAATTACATATATACATACATACATATTTCCTTAGCTAGTAGAAACATTTTTTTTTTCAAAAAGATGCTCACCAAACTGATCTTATAATAATTATTACCGCCCTTTTTTTTTGGTTGGTGTTGTTGAGCAAATATTTCAATAACCTCAATTGAGATCAGCTTTGTGTCTTTTTCGCTACGCGCGCCTAATTCATTCATTCATTCATTCATGTATTGTCACTTGGTTATTATTATTTTTTTAACCCAACCCACACACACACACACACACATGAAACATGATTTTGAATAAAATTGTAATTGGCAAAGAAAAAACTTCGATAAGTAGAATAATTAGTGGTTTATTATTTTTTCTGTTGTCCTCACTGTTATTTTTCACTTAAGTGTAACGTCAAGTATTTAGTGTTGATCGATTTTTATTTTAAAAGGCGGTAGGATTACCGAGAATATTGTAGGATTTAATTTGTCTTACAGATGTAATTCTAGAACGGTAAATGCAAGCAATATTGGCGAGCACAGAGTCTATGAGAAAGCTATAGAGTCAAAACAAGATCAACTTTTGCTTTAAACTTTATCTGTTTCTAAACATAAAAAAACAATTAAATTAGTACAATAAATAAGGTAATTACAATTAACAAGTAAGACGAGCAAATATACCGACCAATAAATAGCGTGTCTTATGGAAATGAATAAAACTATGAGTCATATCAATATCGTAAGATAATAACGTCCTTCAATTAGTAGGACGTCATTTACACCAAAGAAAGTTTACAGATCACGTGGTGGGCGTTTAAAGCACAATTTGATTGGTTAGTTATGACATAACTACAATTAGTTAAGAAAACAACTAACAAATGTTTCTGATGTTTCTTAAGTAAACATCCTTATCCAACAGTTGAATAAATATGTTTATGTTCATTCACTGAGTGTGAATTTTTACCAAATATTTTCAATTCAAGAGTCTTGAGATTACTTACTTATTTACTTAGGCCTGTTGCAGTTGAATCCATCATAAGAATTCCGTATGATGTTGACTATTTTCTCAGGCACACCGTAGTGTCGAAGAAGCCTCCACAGTGTTTTCCTATCCACGCTGTCAAATGCTTTCTCGTAGTCGATGAAGTTGATGTAGAGTGGTGAGTTCCATTCAATTGATTGTTCCACAATGATCCGTAATGTAGCAATTTGGTCAGTACATGATCGATCCTTACGAAATCCAGCCTGTTGATCTCGAAGTTGGGCGTCTACGAAGTCCTTCATTCTGTTTAACAATACTCTGTTGAAGACTTTGCCTGGTATTGAAAGAAGAGTGATGCCTCTGTAGTTTTCACACTTGCTGAGATCGCCTTTCTTTGGTATTTTGATCAGGTATCCTTCTTTCCAATCTGATGGTACTTGTTCCTCATCCCAAATCTTCTTGAAGAGAATGTGAAATATTTTCGCAGTTGCTTCCACATCTGCTTTCATTGCCTCTGCTGGAATGTTGTCTGGTCCTGCTGCTTTGCCGCTCTTGATTTGTCTGATGGCTATACTGATCTCCTCAATCGTAGGTGCGCCAATATTAATTGGGAGGTCCGTGGATGCTGCTTCGATGTTGGGTGGGTTCAGTGGAGCTGGTCGATTCAATAGTTCCTTAAAGTGCTCCACCCACCTATTTCGCTGTTCGTCAGTGTTGCTGATTATTTTCCCTTCCTTGCTTTTCACTGGTCGTTCTGGTTTACGATAGTTCCCGGCGAGCTTCTTTGTTGTTTCGTACAATTGTCTCATGTTTCCTTCTCTTGCAGCCTTTTCCGCCGTCATTGCTAGATCTTCCACATATTTTCGTTTGTCAGCTCTGATGCTCTTCTTCACTTCCCTGTTTGCTTCTGTATACTCGGCTTGCGCCTTAACTTTCTCTGCTCTTGTTCGGCTGACATTCACTGCTGCCTTCTTGTTCCTCCTTTCTTGAATTTTTTCAAGAGTATCAACAGAGATCCATTCCTTGTGATGGTGCTTCTTGCGACCAAGGACCTCCTGACATGTTGAAGTGATTGCCTCCTTAATCCCTTTCCACTTGTTCTCCAATGTTGCTTCCTCTCCATTGAGTAGATCCTGAAGGGCCTGGAACCTATTGGTGAGGGCTATCTTGAATTCGTTGAGCTTTACGGTATCCCGAAGAAAGGCCGTATTAAACTTCTGTGATGTTGTCTGCCCCGTTGTCCAGTGCTTCTTTAGCTTCAATCTCATTTTGGCGATCAGCAAGTGGTGATCTGAAGCTATATCAGCTCCTCTCTTGGTTCTCACATCCTCCATGGTCCTTCTGAACTTTTTGTTGATACAGATATGGTCAATTTGGTTTTGAGTAGTGTGATCCGGTGAAATCCATGTGGCTTTGTGAATGCGTTTGTGCGGGAATATTGTGCCACCGATGACCAGTTTGTTGAAGGCACATAGGTTTGCAAATCTCTCACCGTTTTCGTTCCTTTCTCCCAGTCTTTGTCGTCCCATGATGTCTTCATATCCAGTGTTGTCCATTCCAACCTTGGCATTCAGGTCTCCCATAAGAATCGTCAAATCCTTTGGTGAACATTTATCGACGATTGACTGCAGCCTTTCGTAGAATTGATCTTTAACGTCGTCATTGTAGTCATTGGTGGGTGCATAACATTGGATGACGTTCATTGTAATGTCCTCTTTCTTTGTTTTGAAGGATGCTTTAATGATCCTAGGTCCATGAGATTCCCATCCTATCAGTGCCTTTTGTGCATGTTTGGACAGCATCAGTGCAACTCCTTGTGTATGTGAAGCGTTTTCCTCTTCATGACCAGAGTATAACAGCAGTTCCCCTGAAGCAAGTCTCAGTTGTCCTACCTGTGTCCAATGTGTTTCACTGATTCCAAGCACCTCGAGGTTGTATCTTTTCATTTCTGCCGCAACTTGAAATAGTCTTCCAGTCTCCCACAATGTACGAACGTTCCATGTACCTAAAAAAATGGTTGCTCTGGTTGTCAGAAGAGGCATCGGCCCCGTGACTTCCGAGGGGACTCGGCTTTCATCACGAGACGTCATAATTCTTCTTCCAACTCCCAGGGCAGAGTTAAAATGGTTTGAATTATTTTTTCTGGTTAGCGTTTTTTTGGCAAGTTAGATTTCAACGGAATGGGGCCGCCAACCCCATGTCCAACCCTCCTCCTTTATCCGGGCTTGGGACCGGCAGTAGCCCCTAAGGTTCTACTGGCGGAGTTATTGGGTAACAGGCGAAAGTAAGTAAGTAAGTAAGTTACCCCCAATGGAGCATGTGTTCCTTGGCATTCCTCTTTTCCTTTTGCCTTGATGATTCCATGTGAGGGCTTGTCACGTGACGCAGTTAGGTGCTTTTCGTAGTGTGTGTCCTATCCAATTCCACTGGTTCTTCCTGATTTCCTCCTCTACAGGAATCTGGTTTTTTCTCTCCCATAGTACGTTGATTCTGATGGTGTCTGGCCAACGAATCCGAAGTATTTTGCGTAGACAACTGTTAATAAACACTTGTATCTTGTGGATGATGGCTTTGGTAGTTCTCCAAGTTTCCGTTCCATACAGTAGAACTGTGTTGACATTTGTATTGAAAATTCTGATTTCGGTTTTGGTTGAAAGTTGTTTGGAGTTGCAGATATTTTTCAACTGTAGAAATTCAGCCCTTGCTTTACCAGTCCACACCCTCACATCTGCATCGGATCTACCTTTCTCGTCGATGATGCTGCTCAGATATGTAAAGCTTTTCACGTCCTCTAAGGCTAGTCTTGAGATATCCTCAACTTTATATTGAGGATAAAAAATGATAGATAAAAGTTAGCACTTGAAATGAAATCTCTTTTGAAAGATGCACTAGTGTATATTCAACGCCCACCCATTTAGTCAAGTGGTAAAGATAAAAAAGGACTGATTTCAACATATCTTTCAGTGTGTAAAAACACTAATCTCCATAACTCTAATTGAAAATATCGTAAAATGTTCTCCATAGTGACTAGCTTCGTGAGGCGAATTCTCGGAGTTCTAGTGAGAAGGCGTGACCCTTTCGGGTGTAGACACTAGCTACCAAAGACAAATGGATGAGGTCGCGCGAAATCTCTAGATCAATCAGAGTTAGACATTAACACCGTTGAATGCCGGCCCAGTGGTCCAGAGTTCGGGCGTTCGCGTGCAAGACCGGAATTCACGGATTCGATTCCTGCGAGGTGCGGGAGTCGTGTATGTGCACTGCTGATGAGTACCATACCAGGACGAAACGGCTGCCTTTCAGTGCTTCCAGGTTTCTAATGGAGGTCCAATTATGATTGATTGATGATTTCAGTGTGTGCGACATATCTGTTGAATACTGAGAGCGTTGTGAATAACTCCAACTGTGTGTATGTTTCGACTGTATTTTTCCTCAATACTTAGAGCAAAGTCTGAACCCTTCTTGTTAATTGGTAGGCAAATGCTTGAACAACTGATGATTATTTAACGTTATTATGAGTTACAAGTTTGCATTGATTGATAACAACATAAGCTACTGATTATTAGTTAGTAATATAGTATTATACACATGAGAAAAAAATACGATTAGAAATCATAAGGCACAAATAGAATTAAGGTTATAATTAGCTCATGGTTGTACGTTACTAAGCGAAATTGATAAACACAGTAATATTTGTATTTGTGTAAAATGCGAGGTACTGCAAATACTTAATCATAACATAAACTCTCTGTAGTTGAAAATGTCTGCATGTTTTACAGATTAAAAATGTTTATAAATCAATGTTAGTTTTTACCCGATAAGAATGTATTTGGTTTTCTTCTAGCCCCGAAAAGAATATTTATAAATCTAAAAACGTTCACATAAATCACTGTCAAGTTAGTCGCAACAATATCATATCGGGTATTAAGTGTAAAAAAAGTGATCGAGGCGGTAGATAGTAATTGTACCGTTAGGATAATATAATTTTTTTTAATGGAACAACCCATACAAGAAAATTAGCTTCAACTGACACATGATTATCTTGAATGTAGTTAGTATGCGAATTCAGCATATAATATATTCATAGTCTTAGTCAAGTAGTCGAGAAACTTGTATTTTGTTAAGATGAGGAAGTTATTACTGAATGTATTGTATTACTTATGTGGTGCGCGCTACTTATAAGTAGTATATGACGCGAGAGTAAACCTAATGTCTGGGAGCAGAAGATGGAGGAAGATCAAGAGAAAGGAAGAGTGGGAACACAATGGAATTTGTATGAAACGTATGAATAGTGAAATGTCAGACAATGGGTTGAAGATTTGCAAATTAACGATTTACGATATGGTTTTGCAATTTTACAGAGTAACTCTGTAATTTTCGATAAATACAATTTGGTTGCCCTCACCTGTGTTCTCCTTCACTACATTTTTACAATACTGTTAGATACCCCCAACACCTCTAGCATATGCCCTCCTATGGTGTGGACAGCTAATGTACATGGTTTGATTGTCTTACATTGCTCTTTGCCTATTAACGATATTGCTGCCCCTGTATCGATCAAACACACTAACTCCGTTTCAGTTATGTACACTCTGGCATAAATTGCCCCTCTATCTACTAGTGCATGAACCTCCAGATTCCTAGGGCGGAAAGAACACACGTTATGTCTAAAATACCGTCGTCGACTTGTTGGACAGTTTATCTTCCAATATCCTGCCCTCCACAAGCGTAACATTTATCGTTCCTTTTATGATTTACTTGTAATGCTGCTATCTCACGCTCTAACTCCACAATCTTCTCAACAGTATTTATCTCATGCTTTTCTCACCCGACCGGAGCTACTGTTCGTGTCATCAGCTGACGAGTCACCTTCGCCAGTTCACCGATATCCATAGGTCGCGCTGCGTTTACTAGTCTCAGCTGCTGGGACAAGGCGGCAGGCACACTCTCGATAAACTGCGACGTCAACAACTGTGCCTCCGACTCCTCATCGATGTTCGGCAGCGCACGGCGCAACAATCTGGTGAGCTCCACAGCAAGCACCAGCGGGTCACCATCAGCCGACAGCCCCGCCAACCGGAACTCCTGCAGCGCCTTCTCCCTGTCCACTGGGCTGCCGAACTCCGCCATCAGCCGCCGGCTGACCATCTCCCACGTCGTCTCTTCGCCAGCACCGTCCAAGCTATCATATACGGCTTTTGCCGTATATGAAAGTCGTGAGTATTGTAAGGATAATTCTAAGTGGGTTGAACCATCCAGTCTAGTGTGTTGATGAAAGTACTAAGCCGTGTCTCGTGATATGCTTGAATGCTATTACAAGTTCACCTTACTCGGTAAACGGAACGAATGTCAACGATACACTGACAAGATAGGCTATTCTAATCCACTGTCCCGGTCGAACCTTCCAAGTATAATCTGGATTAGAAAAATCAAATTAAGATAGGTCTTCATAACGAAGGATCCACATGTTAAAAGTAACGTGGGCATCAGGATCATAATAAAACTTACCAATACTATTTGCGATGCCGTCTGCTGATGGTGATGTGGTTGAATTCGGTGTCTACGCTGTGTGGTAGGCTGAATCTTGGTCTCTGTCAACATCTGCATTAGTTTCAGCTCCTGCTCAAGTAATAATCCAAGTTTAGAATAGTCCCCAGAACTCGCTTGATAAATGCCTTACTTTGGTTTTCACGTTTGCGAGCATGGGCTAATCAGTTGACCTTGAGATTTCAATTCCCGTCAGGAAAATCCATGGCTGTGATTGGATGCTGTGTATTATAGTCTGCTGTTTTTGTGACTGTCCCAAGGACGTTTCTATGATGTATAAATAAACGAGTTGTATTGTGGTGCGAGCTACTTATAAGTAGTATATGACGTGAGTGTCAACGTAATGTCTGGCAGCAGAAGATGGGGGAAGATCAAGAAAGGAAGAGTGGGAACACAATGGAATTTGTGTGAAGCGCATGAATAATGACAATGGATTGATGTTTTGCAACAGGAACAGTCCAGTTCTATATGATGAACTGATATTTTGCAAATGAACGATTTACGATATGGTTTTCCGATTTTACTGAGTAACTCTGTAATTTTCGTTAAATACAATTCGGTTGCCCCACCTGTGTTCTCCTTCACTACAGTATGCTTGATTGTACTGTGATTGCTGGGTGTTTGTAGAATATACTTTCTTCGCTTACAAAGCCTTCTTCCTTTATTCGGGGATTCAACGTAGCCCACCTAGACGCTGCCTCAAGCATACTTAGTGACGAACCGAATAGTTTTCATAACCACCGTCGCCAAATGATGTACTTGTCAATTTACATGAATACTATTACGAGTTCACCTTACTTGGTAGACGGAACGAAGGTCGACGTTAAAGTGACACGACAGGCCATTCTGACCCGTTGTCCCAGACTCTGCTAACTATAGGAAGAAGCCTTGATATGGCGTAGAAAGTGTACCCTACAAGCACCCAGAAAATACGAGGTGTCTAAGCACACAAATCAAACTTATTTATACAATGATAGAAACGCCCTTGGTGAGAGTCACAAAACAGCATACTAAAATAATCCATCAACCAATGACAGTCAAGGATTTTCAGAGTAGGAAATGTTAAGCCGATGGTCAATTAAGCGTCTCTGGCGCGAAAACATTGGAATTCAAAATTTCAGCATAATGCGGATCTAACGTCCCCAACAAATCTACAGTTCACTGTCCGAATAATTGCCATTAAACTAAATTTTATGATTCTCTGTCCGTCTTATGAAATGACTCTACCTTCGTACAATGTTTTGCATAATCGAAATGTATGTGGAGCAAGTGTAAGGTCATAGACAGGAAGTATTTTGAACAGGAATAATATTAATATACTTTCAGATGTGCAAGTTAACCTTGTTAATATCTCAGCATATTTATTACACAGATTAGTATATGAAGGAACAATCGGAAAACCAATTTCTTCTGCTACACTATTAATCTTTATTCTGACTTTATTGCTAGACCAGTTTTATATTGTAAAGTTAATAATCCCATAAATAAACTGATTGTAGGCGTATTTTATGCTTTCCACCTTACTATATCAACAGATTTCTTTGAATCTATCTATCTATCTGTACTAGTAAAGCTCTATGTTAAAGGATTATCTGGCTTGGAAAGAAATAAAGTTCTTAGTTTTAACCGTCATATGTTACAAACTGGTTACACATATTGATCGTTAATCAATATCAGCTTATTATCAGCTCTCTGGAATTTTTCTCGTTTAATTTTATTGCTAGAATCTCATTGCGTATTAATATCATTTTTCCGCTTCCTACATTAAGCAGACAGACGTACAGATACAACACAGAACTTCGTACGTATGTGACATAACGCATTACCACAGAGACGCAACTGTCAGTTCTAATCCAACAGTAGTAGCGATAGTAGAAGTATTAGCTGTAATGGAGAAGAATAGGGTTTGAAGATATGATTCGAGAAGTGTAATTCAGTGAGATAAAGTTAGAAAGAGAAAGATAGAGATGATGAAGAATTCAGGTCAGAATTTAAGAGAACACAAAGAATGGATGCACTTCCGCCATTGCAAACGATTTTGAGCCATGTCGTTCAAGGTCTCTTCTATCGATTGGTGACGTTTGTTTCCACCTGCCAGTGATTTCATGGATTTGTGCCATGTTTTTATTTGGCCGCCCCTAGCTTTCTTCCAATCTACTCCTACACTGCAAAACATAGCTCATCGAGGCAGTCGGTGGTTAGGCATACGTAACACATGTCTCAACCACCTCAACTGATGAAATTTCACTACTTAATCTATTGATTTCCCATCCCTACCTAGTACTCGTTTCCTCACGACAGCATTGCTTACTCGGTTGTCCCACTTTGTCCTACATTTAGCGTAATCCAAAGTATGTAATCCTGGGAAACTGTACAGCTATGATTAATGATTGGATTACATGTGCCTGATGTAACAAGGATGCATAATCTATACGTAAACACTTTCATAACTTAGCTTTAAAGTGGTTGGGAAGATGCAAAAACATTTCAATGAATATTTATCCATAAAGTCGGTGAGTACAGATGAAAAATACAGATATCATTGCTAAATATTCAATAACTACAGAGCTGAATTCAAGAGATTAAAGCAAGCGTAAAATATGAAGCTGATGATTCTTTTTTCCTGACATTCATTTGCTGCCGAAAGAAATTGTGTCATCACTCAGCCATAAGTAGTATAGACACATTTTATTGCATAGTGAATTCATAAACACAAGCGTACACAAAGTATTGTTATAATATTAAGTAAGTGACGTTGAATGACATGGCTCAAAATCGTTCGCAATGGCGCCAGTGCATTTATTCTTTGTGTTCTCTCAAATCCTAATCTTCTGGGTTCTTCAACACCTCTAGTTTTTTACTTTCTAAACTTATCTCATTGAATCATACTTCGTGAATAGTATCTTCTAATTCTAACCTCTCCGATTACTTCTAATACCTTGACTACCTCTTCTACTATTGGATTTGAATTGACAATTATATCTCTGTGCTGATGTGGTATGGCGACATGAACTGATGTACTTACGTACGAAGTTCTACGTTGCAACTGACTGACTGACTGAAGTGACGTTGGAATAAATAATCTTTTGATCAAGTTTCGTTTTCATTTAAAATCGATCATTGCAATCATTTGGTTTATCCAATTAATCTCTCAAGAAGTTATAAATATCACTAATACTGAAATAGACTTGATTTACTAAAGAAACAGTATCTTTAAAGCGTTTTACAGTAATGATTAAAGACAAGTCAAGTAAAATCAAGTGTATTTGTTACTTTTTATAGTCACTTGTTTACATAAACAGTTTCAAGCATGGAACTTTTCTCTCTTGTTCTCTGTAAGTATTTTCGACTGCATCATTATTTTTCTTTGCCATGTTCTTGACCAGATAATCCAAGAATCTTCTTACATTGATCAGTTTTACTGAAAAAAATAAGCCAATTAAGATAGATAGATAGATAATGAAGTGAAAAGGGTTGTAATATTTGTGATTGTATTTCATTACTGTGATTCTGTTTGTTAGACAAGTTAGTTGATAGTTAATTCAAAGCCTCTAGGTAATTCATTATTATTAAAATTTATGTGGTGCTTAAGTTTTTCATATATCTGGTTAGGTTCCGTGAGACAATCGTAACCGACGATATGGCTCAAAATCGTTTTCACTGGCACTGGCGGGACCATTATTTGTGTTCTCTCAAATTCTGATCTTTTGAATACTTCATGACTACTTTTTTTACACATTTGAAATCATTAATCAATCATCATTGTTAGACCACCATTAGTAACCTGGAAGCACTGGACGGCCGTTTCGTCCTAGTATGGGACTCCTCAGCAGTGCGCATCCACGACTCCTGCTCCTTGCAGGATTCGAACCCGGGACCTTTGGCATTGTAGGCGAACGCCTTACCATCGGACCACTGGGCCGGGATCCAATGGTGTTAATGTCTAACTCTGATTGATCTAGGGATTTTGCGCGACCTCACCCATTTGTCTTTGGTAGTTACTACCTACACCCGACAGGGTTGAACTCCACTACTTTTTTCTCTTTCTAGCTTTATTTTCACTGGATTATACTTCTTGAATAATTTCTTCGAACACTGATCTTTTCCATTATCGCTAATACTTCTACTATATCTACTACTATAGGATTTGAATTGACAATCCTATCTCTCTGTGTGCTAAGGTGGTATGGCAACTTGAACTAATGTACCTAAATACAAAGTTCTACTTTGTAGCTGACTGGCTGACGGCTATTTTCAACTGTTTTAAAATGCAAGAAAAAGAAGGAAGGTACTGTATGTCTTCAGCAGTAGGTCTCAACATACATAAAGGAAAAAGCACAATTCTCCGATGCAACACAACATGCACCAACCAAATCACTCTTGATGGAGATGCCTTGGAGGACGTTAACACCTTTACATATCTGGACAGCATCATCGACAATCAAGGTGGATCGGACGCAGATGTGAGGGCGCGGATTGGCAAAGCAAGGGCTGCGTTTCTACAGTTGAAAAATATCTGCAACTCCAAACAACTTTCAACCAATACCAAAATCAGCATTTTCAATACCAACGTCAAGACAGTTATACTGTATGGAACGGAAAGTTGGAGAACTAAGGAAGTCATCATCCAGACGATACAAGTGCTCATTAACAGTTGTCTACCGATTTGTTGGCCAGACACCATTAGAAACAACGTACTATGGGAGAGAACAAACCAGATTCCAGTGGAGGAGGACATCATGAAGCGGCGGTGGAAGTGGATAGGACACACACTACGAAAAGCACCTAAGTACATCACGAGACAAGCCCTCACATGGAACCCTCAATGCAAAAGGAAAAGAGGAATGCCAAGGAACACATTACGCCGAGAAATAGAGAAAGATATGAGAGGAATGAACAAGCATTGGACAGAAATGGAGAAGGAAGCCCAGGATAGAGTTGGTTGACGAAAACTGGTGTGCTGCCTATGCTCCATTGGGAGTAACAGGCGTAAGTAAGTAAGTAAGTAAGTACTGTATGACCTGAGAAAATTTACAGGTGTACATGTGAATTCACAGCTTTATTAGCGTACAATAAACATTGACTTTCATGGCTGAAATGCATAGTATATCTGTTGTGAATAATTACCTTAATGTGACTCAATACCGTGGCAAACTATTCCGCTGTTTTGTAGGTCTATACATCTTAAAAATGCATATGTGAACAAGATATTGTACGTTATCGATCTAGGCATCTAGTGAAGTTAACCTGCCTCGATATGAATAAATTGTGTACATGATTGTAAGATCGATTTGTTGAAGGATTCGTTTGTGAAAATCCCTCTCCATGTATACATTTGTAATTTGTCCTTATTGATTAATTCACTTGTACATCTTGTTAGTCTGTTCGATTCCATTTGAGATAATAACATTTGCATTTTATTATAGTTCCCATTTCTTCTGTCTTTACTGAATTTCTATGTTTCTTTCTGAACTGCATATATGTTGTTTAAGCTGATACTTAGTCATGGTGACAGCCATTTTGATTTGTTCCTCTTTTGATTATGTCGAGTGCATTGACTGATCGTGAATTGTGCATTTTGATCGTGAATTGAAGCACCCTTCCAGAATAAGAAGCACTCTGTGTTATAAAGTGACCAAATATTATCTGTCCAACGAATCTGATCTATCCAGGAGGGATAGAATATCATTTATTTGTTGCTGTTGTGGATTTGATTAATTGAACAATTGTTGGTGGAATAACTGTCTAGGTAATACTTGTTTAGGTAACGATGTATATTAGATCCGTCATTCACCCAAATCACTTGTTTTTGATTTTAAACTGGTCAAGGCGCGTATCTAAACTGCCTAGAAAGTTATTCTTCAGTCCAAACCTCAGTTTGAATTCTACATTATTATTCAGCCATTAGCAAAAAAAAACTGTTTTCCATCCAAACTCGACTTTCCTATCTTCAAATAATGGACTAGTCAAGTGTTTAAACAGTGTACATTATTCAATCAATCAAACAATAGAACAAAATAAATTCACTCATTCTATAAACAATGATTATGAATAAATTACTGATGTAACAATCAATTTCTCCAATTGAATATAAATTATAATGCTTACTCTATTCATTTCATATCTTCCATGTAATTTTACTTACGCGATAAGTTTACGAACACCTTTATTTGTTTCAATTTCAGTTTTATTCGCTGGAGTAAAATCTAAACTGAATTCACAATCTTGAATACGAATTTTCAATTGATTTTTTCCATTTAAACTATACTGTTCTTGAGGAATTTGAATTTTCCGATTACCTGAAAAAATTGTTTTTTTGTTTGTTTGTTTGTTTAAAAATGGGTATAGAAATCATTTGCATTACATAATCAATGATAATAATTTAGTCTTTCTCTATTTACAATGAAAAGCAAATTTCAATGTTTGATTAACTGTATTTAAATGTGTGCGCTTCATCATTATGGCGCACTATTCGTACTATTTCGTCCTGATCAACTTCAGTTGTATGTTAACAACATATTGATCTGTTGGTAGTGATAGGGAAATGTGATCGATCATGGAGAGTGAACAAACAAGTACAGCCTACTGTTCAAGTAAATAATATATGATTTTATCTAATTTCAACGAATTGATTTATACACCGAACTCATTGAATGTGGCTGTTTGTAATGGTGTCAAGTTAAAAGAATTGTCTATCGATAATAATAATTATTATTACGTCGAAATGCAATATGTTGCTTCAGGATTGGGTTGCATCGGCACCTGAACTAGTGATAGGGAGTGAAGTAGTTGAGCGTGTAGACCGCTTCATTTATCTGGGGAGTCTCATCAGTGCCGATGGCCTGGTGACTGAAGAAATCTCAGTACGGATACAGAAAGCTCGATTGGCTTTTGCCAACCTGCGTCACTTATGGCGTAGGTGTGATATCAGTTCGCTAACTAAAGGACGAGTGTACTGCGCAGCGGTTCGCTCCGTTCTCCAATATGGATGCAAAACATGGCCGTTAAGAGTAGAAGATGTTCTTAGGTTACTAGTTTTCGATCATAGATGTCTTAGAAGCATTGCTCGTATATCGTGGGACAACCGAGTAAGCAATGCTGTCGTTAGGAAACGAGTACTAGGTATGGATGGCAGATCAATAGATGAAGTGGTGAAACTTCATCAGTTGAGGTGTTTGAAACATGTGTTACGTATGCCTAACCACCGACTGCCTCGACGAGCTATGTTTTGCAGTGTAGGAGTAGGTTGGAAGAAAGCTAGGGGTGGCTAAACCAAAACATGGCACAAATCCATGAAGTCACTGACAAGTTAACTGGGTCATGTTGATAGATGTAGACTACCTGGTTAGGGTCCGCCAGACGAAAGTCACCGATGGTTAGAGACCTTGAATGACATGGCTCAAAATCGTTCACAATGACGCAAGTGCATCCATTCTTTGAGCTCTCTCAAATCCTAATCTTCTGGATTCGTGAACACTTCTACCTTTGTCTTTCTAACCTTATCTCACTGAATTATACTTCTTGAATAATATCTTCAAACCCTAGTCTTCTTCATTACCATTAATACCTCTACTATCTTTATCACTATGGTATTCGTTTTGACAACTGCGTCTCTGTGCTAATGTGGCGTGGCAACATGAACTTATGTGCTACATACGTACGAAGTTCTACGTTGCAACTGACTCAACTGACTCATTCTGGTTTCCTAGTTTGTTTGTGAATCGTGTATCTGATCTAATGTGATCTAGTCTGTGTGTGTGTGTCTGTGTTATATGCCATTTGAGTATCTCATTCAATGAGAGTATAAACTTGATCATTCGCTGAATGGCTGTATATGATACAGTGGGGGATAAATATAATTGATCAAAACATACAGTTATTATTATATACGTTTTGATTCTATTCAACGAATGAAAGAAATTTATTATAATAATTAGAAAGTCAGTCCATGTAACTCTTGCATAGATCTTTGTCCATGTTCTCTTCAAATTAATAAAGAACATAGGCATAGACGAGAGAGGAAGCGTACGAACTTAATCGATAATGATGAGGTGCTTAATTTGTACTTGAATTATTTACAATTAATCAGCTGAGTGTAAATGTATACTACTTTTCACCAGTACTTAGTAATATTGACTTGAAATGTGTAATTGTATTAGTCAACGTTTAAACTTGAATTGGAAATACCTACGTGTATACTCTTGTTCACCAAATATGAGTTGACTCAAGAAAATGAAATTTATTTATTAATAAAATTTGGCAATATTAAAGATTCTAGTTAGAATGATCTCATTTCAGATATTTTTTCACACCTCTACACTAGACAATATCTTTATTTCATGCTGGTATAATTTTGAGGGAGTTTTGTTCATTGAACTGGATGTTTTGCTTGTGAAGCTTTCATTATTATTCTTCTGAACAACATCATCATCAACAGCACAAACTTCAGATAGAATTGAGGCATTCAAATCTCTTCACATATGACTCATATTTTGACCTTGATCCTGATTGGTTGTTATTGACCTTAAACCTGTCGTTGTCTGTATCGTTTGATCTGTCTCTGTATCTTATGTTTTCAATGACTAAACTTTAATAGTTGAATATAATGTTATTGGTAGATTGGTGATCAGCAATGCTAGAATACAACTCCATTGTCAATACAACGGTGTGAAATGAAAGAATTTACGACCATTTGAAGTGAAATTATGCAAATTCTATTACTTTTGATGAGTTTACTTTTCAATAATCTACGTAATGAATAAATGTTCATTGAAAGCATAGAACATACATTGACACTGTGTTTTATATGTACTAAGTACATTGATCTACAGATTACAAATTCTTAAACCAATACATAAGTGTATTCAACTATACTGATAAATTTGATAAGTTTGGGGAATGAATTGAAAACCAAGAAGCTCCGGGTAGGGGTTCTCTAGCACCACTGATAATCAGGCATAAAGTCATAAGTAAAACATTCTGTTCTTTGACACTATTCTAGACTTCACTTAGTCATATACTTATTACTGACTAATCTCATAATAAATCTCTTGAAGTTCCATTGAAAAATCATGATTTCTCAATGGTTAAACAGTTCAAAAGTAACTTGATTACTGATTGAGAATGTATATGAGAATAGAACTATGCCATATGCTAAATGATACATTGTAAGCGTACTGTTGAATGAAATAACAACCATGTGTACATTTGGTTTGTAACAGTACACTGCAAAATCATTGATAATAGCCATTATTGAAAAACTGAATAACATTTTATCTGATTAAATAAAAAACTAAGCTTTTTTAATTCAACATCAAAATAGTTTTTCCTTGATCGTATATGCTTAAAATTATCGAAAAATAACTGTAGAATTAACTTCATATACAATATAAATAATTAACAACTTACCATGTTTATCGAACTGCAAAGGAGCTTGTAGTACAAAACATTCATTTAGTGTCATATATGACAAGATAAAACCAATGAATAAATAACTTGCAATCGATAGATTAATCATTCCTCTTTCTCGCTTTTTTATTATTTCTAAAATAATTATCAAAGAAATTGTCTTTTAATATGAACAATACACATAAATATATGAAATTGTTTAAAATATATCATTGAAAAACCATCACACTTGACTAATGACCATTTTTTTAGAAACACAATCCTGGAAATATTATGATCTGTGTAGTTAGAAGTTTGGTATTTATCACCAAAATATTTGTGCTCATTACTTATTGACTGAACTAAGAGTGTGAAAAATTTTAAATGTATCTATTTTCCTGAAGAAATCTGAAAGTTGTAAATGGGATTTGTTTATGTGTTCGTTCACGTTCAATGTCCAACATTCCTTTGGCACCAATTTTTTTACAATTAAAAATGTATCATTAACTTATTCAAAAGAATATAAAAATTCTCAAGAATAACTGTTAATCATGACTTACTTCAAAAATAATTACATAAAACATTGAGTTGGGAAATAATTTATATACATTTCATTCATACCTATCTATCAAGTCAATCATTCAATGATCAATAGAATGCAAAAAAATTGAACATAATGTCATTGTTATTAATTTGCTCCAATTTTTTGTTTTAAAAAAGAAAAGCACATAATTCAATGACATTTTGATATCTAGAATGTTTTTTTTTGACATGAATAATTGAAGTGGTAAGTAATGTGTAATGTGTTCTAAACTTATTTTATTTCCGCTTATTACGACGTACAAGTCCAAAATTTCATCTTATTTGATTGAAATCTTATTTTTACAAAAAAAAAATACAACAGCTAAGGATAAACTCCATTGTTGTCCTTGCATTTTGATGTTGTCACAGGGAATCAATCAGAATGAAGTGGAGATTTATTACTGTTACCTTAAAACTTCTACTATTCATAATACTCACTAAAAGTTCACTTACAGAAAGCGATAAACAATGGAAAGTTTTTTTGACCGACGAGAATATCATTCCATTCTCTTACGGATGGATATATCATGTAGAGTGAATTCAGTAGTGATGACATAAACATTACGATAGCAAAAATCATACCTGTAATTAATTCTGTGATGAAAATCATTACGAAATATGTACAATTTAGGGAATAAATGAACAAATATATGACTGTTCTAATAAGATTACATACTTAGTGACATTCAAGTCCACTTAGGTATTTTAGTCACAAATTCCACAAACATATACTATCCAAACTGAATCATCTCATTCGTGCTCTTACATTCGTTCTTTAAATAACACAAATGAAAGAAATAAGTAATTGTTAAACTATAAACTACTTCAAATAAAACAGTTAATGTGAATCTATGAACAAGTTTATTCATTTCTTGGAAATAAACTCTTATAATGCTTCTCGATTCCAGGATGATTTACACTGAGTTGATATTATATAAAGTGTTCTATTCACTAGTGTTTACCTAAAAATGATTGGTACACCTGGTTGGGTTATGGTCTATTTAGCGTGCTTGCTCCCCAGTTAACTTCTCGGTGGTCACGATATTCAGTGCTTACATTCTATTAAAAGATAGAAGTGTGATGTAATTCTAATCATCAAGAATAGTTCATTTAGAGATAACAAGGTTTATTTTTAAGGTTACAAATTAATTTGAAACTCTTGATTCTTTTAGGAAAGTAATTTAACATTAGTAATAAATTTGGCAGTTGAACTATCAGATTCTAAAACAGAATAGTAATTTGATTCTTGAATGGTTTTTAGTCACATTGATTGGATAACACTTTTGTTGAGTTCTCTCAATTTTCAGGTGGATTTCCCGAGAAATTTACAGTTTGTTCAAATGGTGATAGACCCGGACAAATAATACTTCCTTACTTACCTAATCCTGTTGCCCCCAATGGAGCATAGGCCGCCGACCAGTTCTCTCCAACCTACTCTGTCCTGGGCTTCCCTTTCCAGTTCTGTCCAATGTTTGTTCATTCTTCTCATGTCTCTCTCCATTTCTCGGAGTAAGATGTTCCTTGGCCTTCCTGTTTTTCCTTTAACCTTGAGGGTTCCATGTGAGGGCTTGTCTTGTGACGCAGTTCGGTGCTTTCCTCAGTGTGTCCCATCCCCTCCCAACGTTTCTTCCTGATTTCCATCTCCGCTGAAATCTGGTTTGTTCTCTCCCACAGTACGTTGTTGCTGATGGTGTCTGGCCAACGAATCCGAAGTATTTTGTGTAGACAACGGTTAATAAATACTTGTATCTTCTGTACAAGTAGTATACACTCTTTTCTTTAATTTTCTAAAAATTTGCTTCAACAAATCTCTAGAGTATTTGCTAAATTTAAGTATAGACAAAATTAAATGAAATCCAGTCTATTGATCTTCTTTCTGTTTACTGTTGTTATCAGTCAAACATCAGTTTGAATGAAGGTTACCATGGAGATAAAATCAAATAACTAGAAACTAACATTTCCTAATTATTAGGTTGTAGGACACAATAATAACAACATAAAAAATTAGTTTATTCTGGAAACCAGTACATTCTGAGTGATAATACAATTATAGGTCGGCACAGGCTCGGTTCGTTATACGAAGGTTACAATTGCGTAAAGTTTGTTTAACAAGAGTTGTAATCTCATTACAACAGACTGAAATAAACTTGATTTTGTATACATTTGGGGTTAACAATTACCCCAAATAGTTATGGGTTCACCTTAGTCGATAAACGAGAACGAGACAATGAACCAGTGACACAGTAGGTTACTCTCATCGGTTGCCCCAAAGGAACTAACGAAGAAGTTTTGATATAGCGTAGAAAGTGTATTCTAGAAACACCCAGCAAACACAATGATCTCAAGCACACAAATCGCATTTTTTTTATACATCATAGTAACGTCCTTGGAAGAGTCACAAAAATAGCACATTAAAATAACCGTAACCAATCACAGCCAAGGCTTTTCCTGGTAGGAAATGTGATCTCAAGATCAACTGTGATCAGTCCATGAATAAAATCCAAAATAAAGCGAGTTCAGGGGATCTAACGTCCCCAACAATTTTTAAAAATGGGAGAACACTGTTGTTATCGCATAAAAAGTCATCGGGGTAAATTAAGAGTATTCTAAATTAACATGATTATTTTATTTTAGTACTAATGATCTCGAAATTACGGAAAGGTTATCGATTTGAAAATAGTAGGATGTTGTCTGTGAGATGAGGTATCATAAATGCAATGCTGTCTTTTAAAAGAATATCCAGGCAGCTGAATGTAAGATGTAAGATCCATTTTTGAAGGATCTGTTTGTGAAAATCCTTCCATGTTTGCATTTGTAATTTGTCCTTATTGATTAATTCAGTTTTACATTTTATTAGTCTGTTCGATTCCATTTTGTGATGATAATATTTGTATTTTATTATTATAGTTGCTATTTCTGAACTGCATATATGTTGTTTAAGCTGATATTTTGTCATGGTGACAGCCATATCGATTTGTTCCTCTTTTGATTGTGTCGGTTGCTTGCTTTCACTGGAATTGTGCATTTTGATTGTGAATTGAAGCACCCTTCCAGAATAAGAAGCACTCTGTGTTATAAAGTGACCAAATATTATCTGTCCAACGAATCTGATCTATCCAAGAGGGATAGAATATCACTTATTGGTAGCTGTTGTGGATTTGATTAATTGAACAATTGTTGGTGGAATAACTGTCTAGATAATATTTGTTTAGGTAATGATGTATATTTATATTTATGATGAATATTAGAACCGTTATTTACCAAAATCACTTGTTTTGGTTTCAACTGATAAAGGCGTGAATCTAAACTACCTAGACAGTTATTCCTCAGTTCAAACCTCATTTTGGAGGAAGAAATCAAATAATTTTTAAAGCAGGCTCTTAAATTCTCGGTTGACTTTAAAAATTTGGAGAATAGATCGACGATAGCGTTAAATTCATCGAAATCAGGATACATGGTTATCTTTGAAGGGGATAAGGCATCTTAAAAATGGTTAGATGTGCACAAAGACTGACGTCAGAAGAGTTGTATTTATGTAGGCTATTTAGAACAAATAATTTGGAACTTATTTCTATTCATCCTATTTATATCACAAGTACATTTATTCCGAAAAAAAGATAATAATTTTGATTGTTAAATGTCACAGCCGTGTACTTGACGTTTCTGATCTTATAACATACACTCAAATGTTTCTAAATTGCTTTCATATTGTGCCAATATTTTTTTTATTTAACAAAGTGATAAACATGTCTTTGGTAATAGACAGGAACGGTAATTTTTCTTTATTGTTCTAGATATACTACTCATAAATTGTAAGTAACTTAAGTTGTATCTAATTATTATTATATGCCTTGAATTTATTTACAATTCAATAGATGCCTGAGCGAATCATGATTCAACATTGAGAAGTACCTAATTCTTATTTTGTTTTGTACAGTATCAGCATGATTTCAGCAAGTTTTCGAATCCCAGTTTTTTTTACACGAAACTTGATCGATAAATGAAGAATCCTTGTGCAAATAGCTAACGTTGTGGCATAATCCCAACAATAAAAGCATTTTGATCAATTAGCTGTTTCATTTGGGAAAATTCCTGAAATTAATTTATTACCCCATAAAACTGAATTAATCTGATCTGCACTTCTTCTGTGTTGTACTCCTTCGATTACACTGAAGTGATGGAACGATCAATGTTAGACCATTACTGGAGACATGTGAGCACTGGACGACCGTCTCATCCTAGTATGGAACTAACCAACAGAGCACATCCATGACACAGGACCTTTGGTCTCATTCTCAAACGCTTATCTTCTTAAACACTGAGGCAGAATCCGACAGTTTCATTGCCTAAGTTTCATCAGTCTGAGGATTTTGTGCAACCTCATTCATTATCTTCGGTAGCTACTGCCTAAAACCTACAGGGTTCAACTCTACTGATCATAGATTCTCACTGGAACTTCGAGAATTTCCTCAAGCAACTAGTCACTAGTGAGCACATTTTTATAATTTTCATTATAAGGTTGTGAAGATTGTTGAATTTTATTGAAATTCTGAATTGATCAATGTCAGAACAACATTAGAAACCTGGAAGCACTGGACGAACGTTTCTTCCTAGTGTGGGACATGGAGGTACACTACTGATGAGTCCCATGCTAGAACGAAATAACCGTTTAGTGCTTCCAAGTTTCTAATGATGGTCTAACAATTATCGATTCATAATTTCAATGAAACACAACAATCTTCACAAACCTGTGATGAAAATATAAATGGTTTATGATATTTTCCTCAATCTACTAGTGCATAATGCAATGAATGGAGTCAGTTTCCGAGCTGTAATCTAAAAGTTGCTTATCTGAATTTCGATTTGCTCAAAGCTATACCATAGTCTGTTTGAAATTATCTTATATATATATGTTTATGGTTAATTATGAATAACAGATGATCATTACTCAAAGATATTTGAGTATTCACAATTTAAAACAATATCTATTGTTATATGTTGAATATATTTTAATTGAGAATATTTTAAAGCAATAAGATCTATAGTTCGAAATCGTGATGAAATTCCTGGAGTTCTAGTGAGAAGCTGTTACAAATGGAGTTCACCCCTGTCGATAGTTAGACAGTTACCTAGCGGATACAATCGGTGAAGTTGCTTAAAACCTTAGGTTGATCAAAGTTAGACACTGATTTCATTGAATACCTGCTTAATGGTCTTGAGGTTTAAGATTCACGCGCGAGAACGAAGGTCTTGGGTCCGACTCCCGCGTGCCTGTGTCATGATTGTGCAATGCTGATTAGTTCGGATAGTGAATTGTACATTTGTTGGGGACGTTAGATCCGCATCATTATGAAATTTTGAATTTCAGTGTTTTTGCGTCAGAGAAGCCTAACTGACCTTCAGCTTAACATTTCCCACTCGGAAAATCTTTGAATGTTATTGCTTGATGGAATACTTTAGTACGCTGTTTTGGGGCTCTCACCAAGAGCGTTTCTATCTTGAATAAATAAGCTTGATTTGTGTACTTAACAACCTCGTATCTTTTGGTTGCTTGTAGAATACATTCTCTACTCCTTGATCTAATTAGCAGGGGCTAGGACAAACGGATCAGAATAGCCTATCGTGTCACTGTATCGTTGACCTTCGTTCTGTTTACCAAATAAGAGTGAGCATATCAGTCACATATCAGCATGCCTAAATGATGTTAATAGGTGGCAGTGAGTTACATAGAACAGAGCTTTCATGAATAACCTTAGCTTCCATGAGACTATTGATAAATTATCCCAGTATGTGCCAACAGTTGGCACAAAAACTCAAGTCCAAGTCTTCTCATTGACTGATTACAACTACCTAACATCACACATACCTCATTAAGTTATCGAGTCATTCAATCTTGCGCGATTATGTTAAGTTTCTTTGTTTTGTAAACAATGTTTTTACTGGTTAACACTGAATGCTGAAATTCGACTAGTTTATACAAATTTCACTGGTAAATAGATTATCTTCTCCTACAAAATAATTCATATAACAGTTTCGTATACATTTGAATATTTTTTTCATGTACTACTGTGGTGTGAGCTACTTATAAGTAGTATATGACGTGAGTGTCAACGTAATGTCTGGCAACAGAAGATGAGGGAAGATCAAGAAAGGAAGAGTTAGAAGAACACAATGGAATTTGTATGAAACGCATGAATAGTGACATTGGATTGATGTTTGGCAACAGGGACAGTCCAATTCGATATGATGAACTGATATTTTGGAAATGAACAATTTACGATATGGTTTTCCTATTTTACTACTGAGTAACTCTGTAATTTTCGTTAAATACAATTCGGTTGCCATTACCTGTGTTCTCGTTCACTACACTACTACTCTTATGCTTTAATTATCGCAACCGAAACTATCACCCATTTTACTTAATAAATCTTTTCTACGATGATGACATCTAGAATATAAAGGAGAAATACATCAACACCAATTGATTTTTACATCATCAACTTTATTGAAATATAGAAGAAAAGGAGAAAAGAAGATTATTGATTTTTTTGTTCTTCTCATCTTCATCCAATCAAAAGTGTTACTTTTTCACAGCTGAAGTGGTATTTTTCTTTTTAGCTTTTTCCGTATACCATGATGTACAGATTCTGAAAAGAGAGAATTTCACATATATTTTTCAACAAACAATTCAGAAAATGAACAATGTGTAATTTTTAATTGAAAACAATTTTTTGTGCTGATCACATCTATTGTTCGATGTAGTTGATATGTTAGAAAAATTTAGGGAAATCATACTCTAATCATTATTTCAATTACAGTCTACTTAGTTCCGTTGACCAGGCACCATCAGTAACATTCTACTGTGAGAGAGAACAAACTAGTTTTCAGCGGAAGAAGAAATTAGGGAATAACGATTGAAGTGAATAGGCCACACATTGAGGAAAACATTCAACTGCGTCACTAGACAAGCCCTCATTTGAAGTCCTCAAGACCAAACGAGAAGAGGAAAACTAAAGAACCCATTAAGTCGAGTATTGGAGACAGTCAGGAAAAGTATGAACAGCATTTGGATAGAACTAGAAAAGAATTCCCAGGACAGAGTAGGTTGGAGAATGCTTGTCGACGGCGTATGCTCCACTAGTAATCACCTATCAAACATACGTATTATCTCAACCAATCGATAATTTGCAATGGTTTACTGTTATCAATATCACAATACATATACATACATTCATATCATTTATATGATATAAACAATGCATTTATTATATTCTAAGTAAAATAAACTTGGGCATATTTATTAGCCAGTCAGAAGTGTCTTTAATGGCATCACTTCTTCGACAGGAGAGCAATGAGAAAATAAAATTCCTTTCCACTTATTCTAATAAACAAACTAAGAACAAGAATATTGAGAGAACAAGTGTACAGGAAGCAATCCTTCGGACCAAATATTAAATCGTGTTTGGGACAGCCTAAAGATACACAAGAAGAGCTGCATACATGCTGTTAGGATATTCATTCAGTATCCAAAGAGAATTATTGGTCAATTCCTATTGGTTAATTCCCACTGGTTAATATTATGGTTGTCCTAGATATCACTGTCACTTCAAATGTTGTTTCTTATTGGTCGTCTTAACTGTCAATGTCACAGACTTCAATATTGTTCCCTTTTCGACCTAACTGTGACGTTTTATGACTCAAACCTAGACCCGGATCCTTAGTCCGGGATCCTGATTCTCTTCTGGACTGGGACCTCGTACTTTCTGGATGCTTGTAGAGTACAGGTTCTACTTCATATCAAGTCTTCTTCATTTAGGACACTCGGATTAGAGTAGCATATCGTGTCGCCGGATCCTCGATCATGGCTCTTGTTCGCTGACTAGAATGAACTCGTAATAGTTCAAGCATATCAAATGACTTCTTTACGTGTATGCGTAATACATGCACATTCAGAAAAGTCTAGATGGATTGCGCTAATCTTACCATACGAAAAGTAAACAGATCAATCGTCCGATTGTTGTTGATAAAAACAGAAACAACATAAAAATATTTTGACCGGCTCTTGTAAAATCAACCCTGAAAACCGATGTAAATATATATTATTCAACTTAACTTAGCCTTAATGAGACAATAAAGAAGGCAGATAACTACAGCATTGTCCAAAAAATAAAGACATTTCACTTGACAGAGTTAGTCCTTCTTCTTCATCATCTTAATGCACATATAAATGTAGACTAGTGATAAAACATCATGATATATTGTCATTAATGTCAGTGAATGTGGAAAACCATTACCTCGCATTAAATTGAGCTGATATCATAGTTCGGCATTCGAGAAACTCAAAGAATACCATGAATATCTATGAGCATCGCAGACAATCCAAATGAGAATTGATAGGCATAAAGATATACAGCCAAATTGGTTAATGCCTATGGAAACTCTCAGTCAGTCAAGTGTTATGAGGTCAACTAATTGTGGTGATGGTATTGGGTTCTCTGAGCTGGATGTTTTGGTTGTGGAGCTTTCATTGTTCCTGTGAACAACATCATCAGCACAAACTTCAGACAGAAGTGAAGCATTCGAATTTCTCCACGTTTGACCTGTGGCTTGTTCTGCTAACCTCGATCTTAATTGGTCGCTGTTGACCTTAAACCTTAAACAAAGGCGCAAACAACGACAGGTTTAAGGCCAACAACAACCAATAAAGATCGAGGTTAACAGAACAAACTACAGGTCAAACATGGAGAAATTCGAATGCTTCACTTCTATCTGCAGTTTGTGCTGATGATGTTGTTCAGCAGAAGAAGAACAATGAAAGCTCCACAACCAAAACAACCAGCTCAGAGAACCCAATACCATCACCACAATCATCCACATGAGCTACAAATCTTCTCCACCATCTCAAAATCATATGAACGTGAGATCAACCAATACAAGACAGTAAACAAGAATGCAATAAAGAACCAAGACAATGAAATCTTGTTAAATTGTTAAACAGTTTATCTTTGCATATGATAAAGCACATACGATTTTCTTCAGAACAACTAACCTTGTCACTTGACGAAATGCTTTGTTCGCTTTAATTTCTTTAGCATTCGGTGCAGCTAAATCCACTGTTGTTACACAATCACCATCTTTCATAGTCAACTGATGGTCTGGATCTAATACCAACTTGAAATGATTCACTTGAAGATACATTTGATCTAAATGTGTATTTTAAATAAATAAGCGCACAGTTAATATCTTTTTAAAAGGTTATCCGTCAGTTAATAAATTGACACATTAAAACAGATGTTAAAGTTACAGGTAGAATAACCATTGACAATTGAATGATTGTGGATAAAAGAAGTGATAAGGGAATATATTCAAGATTATCACTGCCAAAGCGTTCATTCAATTGATCGAAAAATGGTTGTTCAAATAAGGATTGAACATTCAATATTTTTCAAAAATTGACGTAGTTCAATATTCAAATCATAATCAAGCAGGGGACCTTCTAAATACAGTTTCCTTTTAGTGAAATATCAAAAAACATGATTGTCATAAGCAGAAAAAGTGGTTCTATCGTCAATCTTTCAAGTAACCCATTGGACAAAAGAAGAGTTTGATTATCAAAACAACAGTTCATCAAGTTATCAATTTATCATGAAGTTTGAATAGAATTAAAAAATTGATTTGATATATTTAAATAATCATTGTGAAATCTCTCTTATCCAGTAGTTTAAAAATAGATACAGTATGCAGAAATCTAAGATAAAAATCTTTTTGATTACCAATATAATAAAATAAATCATTATGTGGTGCGCGCTACTTATAAGTAGTATATGACGTGAGTGTCAACGTAATGTCTGACAGCAGCAGAAGATGGGGGAAGATCAAGAAAGGAAGAGTTAGAAGAACACAATGGAATTTGTATGAAACTCATGAATAGTGAAATGTCAGACAATGGATTGAAGATTTGCAAATTAACGATTTACGATATGGTTTTCCTATTTTACTAATGAGTAACTCTGTAATTTTCGTTAACTACAATTCGGTTGCCGTCACCTGTGTTCTCCTTCACTACAATTATACTGATAAAAGAAATAAGGTGTTGAAAACAATGTCTACATTCCATCAAATCGTTTGAGGGCACTTGATGATTATTCGGTTTGGTGGTTATAAGTACAAACTTACAAAGAAATTCAAAGTATTTGAAGCTTACTACAAACATAACTATCATGTTGGATAATAGAACAGATTGCTATCGCAAAAGTTTGGCCTCAATCTACAAAATAATGTATTGATTATCGCTTGTAGGCTTCTCAAGTCAACAGATGCAAACATATATAGTACAATGTATTGCGTAATAATTTCATACTTGATTGGATTGTTTGAAGTAGTTCATCAAAACACAACAGATTATGAAATTCAGTGTATACCAATTAATATTTTAAGTTGTATTGTTTCCAGTCAACATTACACAGGTCACATCCTCATTTCTATTGTTGAAAGCATCTATTGAAGACGTTAGAAATAAGGTTTTCTAGTTCATTCAGTGTTTCACGTTTTCTTTTCATTATACTGTCCTAGTGATATCTCTGCATCGAAGTGTTTACATTGTAAGGAAATATCTAAAATTCCTAAGGATAAAATCTGTTGGTTGGAGAAAACTGGTGGACGGCCTATGCTCCATTGGTGGGTAACAGGCGTAAGTAATTAAGTAATTAAGTAAGTAAGTAATTAAGTAATTAAGTAATTAAGTAAGTAAGTAAGTAAGTAAGTAAGTAAGTAAGTAAGTAAGTAAGTAAGTAAGTAAGTAAGTAAGTAAGTAAGTAAGTAGGCAAGTAATTAAGTAAGTAAGTAAGTAAGTAAGTAAGTAAGTAAGAATAAAATCTATTGAATAGAGACAATGATCTACAGGTAGGGCTGAATAACAGGCCAAAAACTCACTTTTAATTACTAGTTGTTACAGTCTATCGAGGTATTAGAACATTTTCCTGCTGTGATATACTACAATAATATGCTAAAATGAGACTAGTTTAGGCGATCCAGTTTATACCACCACTGGAATAAATATTTGAACGGTACACTTCACAGAGATTAGATCACATTGTATCAGATATCCGATTCATGATCAAAATAGAGAACTTGAGTAAGTGATAGATAACATCTAATTTCATACAGTTGTAAGCAGTCACCGTCAATGAATCCAGAATGGAAATCAATAAGAGGAAAAACGAAAGCAAACAATAATTTGTCAACGAACAAGGTGTATCTGATGCAGATGTGAAGGCGCGAATCGGGAAAGTGAGGGCTGCATTTTTACTATTGAACAACATCTGGAACTCAAAACAACTGTCATCCAACACCAGGCAGAATTTTCAATATAAATATCAAGACAGTTATTCTGTATGGAGCGGAAAATTAAAGAACTACCAAAGCCATCATCCAAAAGATAGAAGTATTTATTAACAGTTGTCTATGCAAAATCCTTCGGATCCGTTAACCATACACCATCATCAACAACCTACTGTGGGAGAGAACAAACCAGATTCCAGTGGAGGAAGAAATTAGGAAGAAGCGCTGGAGTTGGATAGGACACATATTACGGAAAGCACTCAGCTGCGTCTTAGGACAAGCCCTCACTTGGAATCCACAAATCCAAAAGAAAAGAGATAGACCAAATGAAGGCAGACATTAGGAGCATGAAGAATAATTGGAGGTCCAGGACAGAGTAGGTTGGAGATTACTGGTCGGTGGCCTATGCTCCGCTGGGGGGTAACAGGTGTAAGTAAGTAAGCAAGTAAGTAAGTAAGTAAGTACATAAGTAGGTAAGTAAGTAAGTAAGTAAGTAAGTGCATAAGTAAGTAAATAAGTAAGTGAGTGCATAAGTAAGTTAGTAAGTAAGTAAGTAAGTGCATAAGTAAGTAAGTAAGTAAGTGAGTGCATAAGTAAGTAAGTAAGTAAGTAAGTAAGTAAGTGCATAAGTAAGTAAGTAAGTAAGTGAGTGCATAAGTAAGTAAGTAAGTAAGTAAGTAAGTAAGTAAGTAAGTGAGTGAGTAAGTAAGTAAGTAAGTAAGTAAGTAAGTGCATAAGTAAGTAAGTAAGTAAGTAATAACCGATCACATTCTCCTTTCATTACCACAAACCAATGAGGAGGAATTAGTAATTTATCCACTTATCGGCTAAATAAATAAAGTCTTGAATAGAGCATGAACCTGACAGCATGATACAAGATGGCATATATTTCCTTTTTTCTCTTTAAAACAAAAAAACAACATTAAACTTACTATTTTCATTAAATTCAATTGGAATGTCAAGATTACTAAATTCAGCAGCCATCACCGTAAACATCGTTGATAATGATGCAACGCCCAAAACTAGTAACAATGGACCAGTGTAGATAAAATTCATTTTTTTTGTTCGGTTACTGTTTATTCAAAAATAAATTGGAAAAACAGTAAAAAATAATTGCGTCATCAACAAAATGAATGTAAGAAATATTAGATAAAATCATGTACAAGTTTTTATTAGTTTTCAAAATATCTGCTTAAAAATATATTTGAATTTTCTTATACTCTGGAAGCAGTTGGACTCTAGCATCAGGACTTACGAATCTGCTTAAAGAGGAGGTGTTAGCGGGACGTAGATGAATTAAAGCATGACTGCGTTAGCTGCGCTCCGATTGGCGGAACCTAATATTTGTTGCAGTGCTGTCTATATTCAGCATATAAGAATGCATCACAGCTCTTGGAATCTGAGAGACTACCTGTTGACGAATAGCAGGATTGGCTGACGACGGTGGTCAGAGAACACTAAGCAATAAGAATAGCTTGGTTTACTAGGTAAGATTTATAACAGTTTGTTATAAGCTCCAAATCGACCAGAGATTAGTTATTTTTAGCGATTATTATTGAAATCATTACCAATTAACTGAGTGATTTGAAGTTATTGTTTGGAAAAACAATAAACTCTCCCCATGAACCCATGAACAAATCATCCAACTCAGAGAACGAAATTTGCATCGTAATAAATGACTTTACACTAATTTTTCATTGTTGAACGCTTAATTTACTTAAAACAAATTTCTCTTGTAAATCATATTTATAGTAATTTAATTAATCAAAGGTACTTGACTGTTTGTAGATACTTGGACAGATTAGAATATTGTTGTCATTGCCTCATTAAGACAATTAATTGACTTTTCAACACTTTTTAACACACCGAAACAACCGAAGGAATATGCGAATACATTCATTTAAACTTATACTCATTTGAAATCAACAATCAGTCGTTGTTAGACCACCATTAGATACTTGGAAACACTAAACGCCTATTTCGTCCTGGTATGGGACTCATCAGCAGTGCTCATTCGCGACTGCTGCACCTCGCAGGATTCGAACCCAGGACCTTCGGTATTGTGCACGAACGCCCAACCATCGGACCACTGAGCCGGTATCTAACGGTGTTAATGTCTAACTTCGGTCAATTCACGGAGTTACACAACCTCATACACAGTCTTCGGTAGTAGTTACTGTCTACACCCGAACAGGTTGAACTTCACTGGTCACATCTTCCCACTAGAACTCGGAGAAGATTCCTCACGAAGCTAGTCACTAGTGAGCACAGGTAATTTGCATTACGGGGTTGTTGTGAAGATTGTTAAGTTACACATTTTTTTTGAAACCATGAATCAATCATTGTTAGACCACCATTAGAAACCTGAAAGAAGCACTGAAAGATAGCCGTTTCTTCCTGGTATGGGAGTTATCAGTGGCAGTGTGCATCCATGACTCCTACACTTCACAGGATCCGAACACGGGACTTTCAATCTTGCGCACGAACACCTATCATCCTCCGTACCACTGGACCGGCATCCAACAGTGTTAATTAATGTCTAATGTGTCACTGTTATAAATAAGGACAAATCTACACAATCCAAATTATTGAACTTACATGATAATATAGATACAACTTATGAAATTAAACAAATACCAGGTTCAAATTAAACTATTTATATACTGAATATATTTATTTGTATTGAATATTGTGTGGTCAAGTTGATTATTATGACAACTGATCAATCAACAATACCAGAAGTAATGAAAGCAATAAAAATCGAAAAAAATTGACACATTTAACATAGATAATTAATTATAAGAAATGATATGATAGTTTTGTTTTTTTCTAAAAAAAAAAATATATCAATGAGTAATTTTTGTTGACAAATGAATGATTTCATAGAAAGGGAAACACATAAATATACATATATATATATATCGATAGTTTAGCAAGCAATAGGAATTGAACATAGATTTTATCAATTACATTGGGTATACCTTGTAATTATGTACAATTTCAATTCATATCTTGATAGTTTTAAAATAAACAGTGTTAAATGTTAGCAGTAGTATTCAACTGCGCTACTATTGTAGCATAATTTTTCGATCATCGATGTCTCCGAAGCATTGTTCGTATATCATTGGACAACCGAGTAAGCAATGCTGTTGTTAGGAAACGAGTACTATGTAAGGATGGTCAATATATGAAGTGGTGAAGCTTGAATAGTTGGGGTGGTTGGGACATGTGTTACGAATGCCTAAGCACCGACTGCCTCGACGAGCTATGTTTTGTAGTGTAAGAGTAGGTTGGAAGAAAGTCAGGGGCGACCAAACCAGAACATGACAGAAATCCATGAAGTCATTGACAAGTGGACTGAGTCATGTTGGTAGATGTAGACTAGCTGGCTGGGGTCCGCCAGATGAATGTCACCAATGGTTAGAGACCTTGAATAACATGGCTCAAAATCGTTTGCAATGGCGCAAGTGCATCCATTCTTTGAGCTCTCTCAAATCCTAATCTTCTGGATTCGTCAGCACCTTTACCTTTGTCTTTCTAACCTTATTTTACTTAATTATACTTCTTGAATAATATCTTCGAACCTTAGTATCCTTCATTACCATTAATACCTCTACTATCTCTATCACTACGGTATTCGTTTTGACATTTGCGTCTCTGTGTTAATGTGGTATGGCAACATGAACTTATATACATACGTACGAAGTTCTATGTTGCAACTGACTAACTGAATGACATTGGGTATACATTGTAATTATGTACAAACATTCAGCAATCAATTGTATTTAATTGATTGTAATCCAGTATTTAAGTACAGATTCATTTCGTCTTCTTTGTGTCATATTCGATGTACATATGTGAGTAATAGATACATTGAACAATGAACTTGATTGAAATAAGTACTAAGAGTTTCAAACATGCATACTAGCTACTGAGAGTCATGTATTTGGTACATGATGAACAATGGAATCTAGGAAGTACATTTTGTTCAAATTGGGATATATCAACTGAGCGTACTTATGTAATTTATGTTCACATAGGGACTCGAACACAGTCCCATAAGTTTCAAATGCCTAAAACATTATGTACTGAGCTGCAGAATCCATCTTACTTACTTACTTACTTACACCTGTTACCCCCAATGGAGTATAGGCCGCCCACCAGTTTTCTCCAACCAACTCTGTCCTGGGCTTCCCTCTCCAGTTCTGTCCGATGTTTGTTCACTCCTCTCATATCTTTCTCTATTTTTCGGCGTAATGTGTTCCTTGGCCTTCCTCTTTTCCTTACTATTGGCATATACCAGGAGTACTACAATTTGTAATTTAATACTGTGTCGTGCTCATCTGTTGAAGTTGTACATATTGTAATCGAATGATAAATTGAAGTACTCAACTTTAGCTATAGAAAATTAGAGAAAGTTATGGTGGTGGTGTTTCTTTCTCTGAGCTGGATGTTTTGGTTGTGGAGCTTTCATTGTTCTTCCACTGAACAACATCATCAGCTCAAACTTCAGATACAAGTGAAGCATTCGAATTTCTCCGAGTTCGACCTGTAGCTTGTTCTGCTAACCTCGATCTTGATTGGTTGCTGTTGACCTTTAACCTGTCGTTGTTTGTACCTTTGTTTTGATTGTATCCCCCTTTTGATCTGTTTCTTGATTCTATGTCACCTATGATTTTCCTGATCGGTTAATAAACTGGGTCAACGTCGATGTGTTTGTTGATTGCTGATTAACCTGAGTGCCAAGCTTCTAAAAATTCTCTGTTGTTCTTTGTGTTCCCCCCATCCAGTATTTCCACAATGTTCCAATCGAATATATGTTCATAATTGTCCGTATGTATTGATATAAGCGAAGAATTATCATGGCGTTTGAATGCTAATTGATGTTCAGCTGAAGAGTCCGTCCACTTTGTCATTTTGTCCTTTGGTGTGCATGAGATTGATTGAAGTGATTCTGTTGGTTTGTGTGCCACACCTATTCCAAATGGTTTCAGTAGTCGTGCTGTATGCTGTATGCATACAGTATACAGCACGATCGAGGTTAGCAGAACAAGCTACAGGTCAAACGTGGAGGGATTCGAATGCTTCACTTGTATCTGAAGTTTGTGCTGATGATGTTGTTCAGAAGAACAATCAAAGCTCCACAACCAAAACACCCAGCTCAGAGAACCAAATACCACCACCACAATCATCCAAATGGGCTACAAATCTTCTCCACCATCTTAGAGACAGTTACTAAATGACATTTTACACTAAAAGCAATCGATGATTATGTCGTAAAAATTTGAATGAAACTTTATGTAAACTGTTGTATACTGCCGAAATATTGATGCGGTGATAGATTACATGTATGTGTATTAATAACAATGTTGAAATGAGCAATAGAATGCGATCCTTAAAATGCTTGAAATCAATAAAAGTTCCCACTAGAAAACCAACAAGTGAATTTAAAATGATTCTCACACCAAAATTACTAAACACAACTGGTCTTAAGGTAAATTGTACAGTAAAAAATACTTGTTTTGATTTAATGTGTAGTCAAGAGTGTTTAATGTAGCTGGATAATATCCTTCTTTGCTTACTTATGCTATAAATATCTACCGTTAGTTTCGTAAATTTGTAAACAGTAGAATGATACAAAGCATTTCATTATAACTGATGCTATTTCCGAATGAAAATCCTGACCTTAATTTATGAACCTAAATCGGAATTCCCGCTTAATTCTTCAAGACGAAAAAAGAGAAGATCACGATGCGCTTACCAACGATGACAATGAAGACGATAAAGATGAATTCTATGACAGGCTGTAATCGATCGTCGGGAAACACTCAGCAAGAGATTTTACCATTCTAATGGTAGAACTTAGAATGAACTACACTGGATATGAAGAAATGATGGGACACCAAGGGGCTGGGAGGAAGGAACGAGAGAGAGAGAGAGAGATTCGCGAATCTGTGTACATTCAACCAAATGGTTATGGGTGACACAATATTTTCTCACAAATGCTGCATGGGTTTCACATGGCCATACTATACAGAACCAGATCCATCATATCTGTATCGATAGAAAGTTCAAAAGTTGACGTAGCTTCATATCATCAGCTGGTGGTGCCTAATATGATACTGAAACGAAAGAAGATCTAGACAACAGGGCACACAGCATTGCAAAAGTTTATTGCGGCCTTTCTTTTGGATACTGATAAACTCAGTGCGTTCAAAATAGCTCTCAACGATAAATTCTAGGCCTTTCACAACCCTCAAGGTCAAAAGAAAAGAGGAAGGCCAAGAAACACCTTACACCGAGAAATAGAGAAAGACATGAGAAGAATGAACAAAAACTGGAAAGAACTAGAGAAAGGGAAGCCTAGGACAGAGTAGATTGGAGAATACTGGTCGGCGGCCTATACTCCATTAGGGGTAACAGGCGTAAGTAAGTAAGTAAGTAAGCAGGTAATTAGGCTTTCACAATCTGCTAATTGAAGAGAAAACTACCGTGCAAAACAAATGGAAAAGGATCAAAGAAATAAATTCAACACGTCATGAGGTTTCGGGTCACATCAAACCAACAGCATAAGGAATGGATCTTTATTGATGCTCTGTCTAGAATTCAGAAAAGAAAGGACGGGAAGGTAGAAATCAGTGACAGCCAGACAAGAGCAGAAGAAGCCACGGCACAAGCTGAATATACAGAAGCAAACAAGCAGGTGAAGAGAATCATTGAAGTTGACAAACTTAAATATATAGAAGATCTGGCAATGACACCAGAAAAAGCTGCAAGAGACAACTATTTGATAACACGAATACACTAGTTGGACAATAGGGTAAAACAGAACAAGGATCAGTCTAAATTAAACGAACAATGTTGTAGGAAACTGCAAAAGAAATCGATTAGATCCCATTATAATCCACTTCCGATAAAATCTCCACCCGATTCCACAGTTTGTAACTAGCGTTAATTCAGGAAGCTAATCGAAGGACTTAAGTTAAACACATCCAATTCATGGTAACACTCCTTGTACTGTCATCAATGAGTTCAAAAACACACATTAGCGAATCCAGTCATTACCAAAATGGAATTTCCACCAGATATGAGCAATTTTTGAGAGTAACAAAGATTGAACCCTGATAGTCACTAATCATTCCTAGCTTTGAATGTGTATCTCCTAAAACCGTAAAGCAGAAGTTATCTAACTGACTTATCGTATACATCAACATTTCAAGTCAGACTAACACATCATGATGAACACGAAAATGTGTAGAATTGGCGTCGACCACTCTGGCTTCCACTGTGCCAAGTTTATCGGACAAACTAATAGGATATGAATGTGAAATTCAAACTATATGCCAATATCTTCAAATTTCACGAGAAAAATCTTGTTCAAAAATAAAAATGAAATGAAATAAGCATTTTATTAGTCTCTTCTCACACACACAAACTGCATACACATCAAATAATCATAGAAGAGTATTATCAAAATATTAAAGATGATAATTGAAATTATGTCAAAAATTAGGATGAAATATGATGTTTCATTTGGCAAAAAAAAGTTCACTAATCATTAACATGTAATAAATGTGTGCGAAAAAAAATTACAGATTTGGAACAAATCATGCTTTTTTAAAATGTCCGCATTTAGTTCTAATATTCAATAGTCAATTAAGTAGTTATCGTTTGGAAATATGTTCATACTTTTAAGCAAAAATAAAACAAAAATTAAATTTGAATGAATTAGGTAACATTTGTAGAGCATAAATGGAATGTGATCTATTCCCCGCCCATTTTTTATGCTGTTTTTATATACTACTTATTAATTTTAAGTAGTAAAAACAAAGTGGAATAATTAAATTTCTATTTTTGAAATTTTTACTTATCATCGTTATTTCGCGAATTTTCGACATATCAGTCGTTATTGTCAGTGATAAATGTTTGTGATACAACAAAATATGTCCATAGACTGGCTGAATATATAGCAGCTCATATACTTTTGGTCAGGTTTCGTTGTTTTTTACGTCATCACCTTCGAGTTTTATAATTCATGCATCGTTTTTTGGAATAAATCGTTGCGTACACAAGAGTAGTTTCATGTATAACAGAAGAGAAGTTTCATAGACAAAGTATCATTGGTTTAAGGTGGTCAATATAAATAATTTTTAAAAAATCAACTAAAACAACAAAAATAATTTATTTTCATTGAATTGAATTGAATTGAATTGAATTTTTCAATGAAACGGATCACATTCAATTGTCAGTGATTAAAGAAACAACTAAAGCTCGTTTTTTTGTGTGTTTGTGTGTGTGTGTAGGTGTGCTGTTACACATTTTTTCTTTAAGAGTAATTTTTATGAGAATTAGTTGACCATTGAACATATTTGTCGAAATAAATTAAGATTGAAAGAATAAAGAAAAAAATTAAAATGATTAAATGATTATTTTAGTTGAAAAAAAAACAAAACAAAAATTACACAACATTAAATAAAATTAATTCAAAAATGAATATTTTGTTTTAAACTAACATGTTAGTTATATGAGCGAAATTTGAATTTTTTTGCGCGATTTTCAAATATGGACATTTATAGTGTATATATATATATATATATATATATTTGTGTTAAGATTTTCTTTTTTTTTGTTTCAAAATAATATTCTTTCACATCATGTTTTGAATATGATTGAAAATAAAATAATTTTTAAATTATTATTAATTTAAATGACAAATTAATTGGCTTGTTTTTTGTGTTTTGTTCTATTACGACGATGATTATTGCATTTTTTATTTTTATGTTGAAATGTAGCGTCTATTTAATTGAACTTCGAATGTTTTTGTTTAAATTTGTTCAGTTTGTGTACTTTGCACAAAAAAGGAACAATTTGAACTTTAGTCATTGTAATTATTTGTGTATGTATATAAACAAATATGTACACTAGGCAGAATGAAGAATAAGTTTATAATTGAATTTTGAACAAAAGAATACACTGAAGGTTTGTTTATCTTTTAAAATTCGAGATTCTATCATTTGAATTTATTGAGGAATATGTTTGTTTGTCAAATTGCATTCTGTGTTGTGTATTGATTAGTGGTCACTCACTCACTCTCTATCTATCTTTCTATTTTCTCGTATTGTGTACAACATGTACTTACTTACTTACTCAATATAAATATGTATATGTATATATATTTGATTAATACACAGAATAGTGGAATATTTAAAACAATGAAAAATAAATGAACTAATAATTAATTAAACAGATAAAGAAAAAAAACAGCAGAAAGAAAAAAAACTGAACAAAAAATTTGAAATTATTATTATTATTGAACATTGAATATTGATTGATTTGTTTTAATATGGTTTGGTAGAATCACTTTTTGGACGTTTCAATTGAACTTTCAAACGTTTCATGCCAATTTGAAAACCATTCATTGCATGTATAGCGGTTTGTGCACTGGCTGGATTATCAAAACTAACAAAACCTAAGAAATTAGTGGGAGAATAATAGATGTTATGTTATGTATGATAGAATAAATAAATCGTTACTTGTATTATATATACATGGATTAATCTAAACAAATTTCCCGGATCTTTCACAATCATATGTCAAGAGTTTAAGCTTAAGTTTACTTTCAACTATTATTAAACCTTTGAAATCATCAAGTCAATATCATTGTTAGACCACAAACATTAGAAACCTGGAATCACTGAAAGATGGCCGATTCGTCCTGGTATGGGACTGATCAGTGACAGTGCACATCCACGACTCCTGCACCTCGTAGGGTTTGAACCCGTGACATTCGATCTTGTGCGCGAACGCCTAACCTTTAAAATCATCATTGTGCAAAAGCAATAATCTTTATAACTCTAATTGAAAATATCGTAATATGTGCTCACTAGTGACTAACTTTGTGAGGAAATTCTCGGTGTTTCAGTGAAAAGATGTGATCAGTGAAGCTCAACGCTGTTTGGTGTAGGCAGTAACTACCAGAGACAAATGAGCTGAGGTTGCACGAAATCCTTAAATTGATTAGATTTAGACATTTAAATCGTTGGTTGCCGGCTCAGTGGTCCAGAAGAGGTTAAGCGCGAGATAGAAGGTTTTGGGTTTGAACCCTGCTTATCGACCTCGATTTTCTGAGTGCTTGTAGAATACACTTTCTACGTCTTGTCAAAACGTCTTCCTCTACTTAGTGGGGCATTCGGACGCTCGGATTAGAGTAGCCTGTCGTGTTACTGAGTCATTTGTCTTCGCTCCCTTTTACTGACTAAGGTGAACTGGTCATAGTTTCAAGCATATCAGTTGACGAGCATAACACATAGATGGAAAAGATCAATAATAATCTCTCAGACTACGACACTGTTTGGTGCGGACTGTTATAACACGCAAAGCATCTGTCGCCTCATGATTTCCGATTGCTTTGTAAGCAATCACATGGAACTCAGATCGATTACTTCCAAAAATGCGAAATTCACTAATTATGATCTATCTATAATGCAAACGTTGTCATTTATACAAGGATTAGAATTTGTTACGCATGCACGTAAACATGTCGATTTGTTATGCTTGAACTATTACGAGTTTACCTTAGTCGGAAAATGAGAGTGAGGATCGAGGATCTGGCGACACAACATGCTACTCTAATCCAAGTGTCCCAACCCCCATTGAGTGAAAGAAGAAGACTTGATATGAAGTAGAACATGTATTCTATAAACATTCAGAAAGTACGAGGCCTTATTCCAGAAGAGAACCAGAATCCCGGCCTAAGGATACGGATCCAGGTCAGGGTCCTAAAACATTACAGATAATGCATATTTATACAGTTAGGTCGAATAGGAAACAGCATCGAAGTCTATGACATTGACAGTTAAGGTGACCAATAGGAAAAAGCATTCGAAGTGACAATGATAGTCAGGACAACCAATGGGAAACTACATTGAAGTACATGACACTGACAGCTAGGACGACCATAATTTTGACCAATAGGAATAGACCAATAGAATTTTCACTTAAAAATGATTCTTCGTAGGATATTTGGTGAATATCCTAACAGAATTATAATTTGTTGTATTAGTACAAATTTAACATGTTTTCAAAATTACAAAAGGTTAATTCGTTGCAGTATTCATAGACTAATCATACATACACTTGGGACGATAAAAATGCTTGATACATGATCAAATCGATAAAACTGACAGAGTAACTTAAACAAAACAAAAACAGTTTAATGATTTCATTTTACACATTTTGAAACCATGAATCGATCGATGTTAGACCACCATTAGAAACCTACAAGCACTGAACGGCCGTTTCGTCCTGGCATGGGACTCATCAGCAGTGCACATCCACGACTCCTGCTCCACGAAGGAATTGAACCCAGGACATTTGGTCCTGTGTGCGAACGCCTAACCTCTGGACCAGTGAGCCAGTATCTAACGGTGTTAATGTTTAACTTCGGTCGATTCACGGAGCTACGCAACCTCATACACTGTCTTAGGTAGTTACTGTCTACGCCCGGACAGGGTTTGACTTCACTGGCCACGACTTCCCACTAGAACTAGGAGAAGATTCCTCACGAAGCAAGTCACTAGTGAGCACAGGTAATTTGCATTACGGGGTTATGAAGATTGCTAAGTTACACCTTTTGCTGATGAGTCCCATACAAGGACGAAATGGCCGTCATTCAGTGCTTCCAGGTTTCTAATGGTAGTCTAACACTGATCGATTCATAGTTTAAAAATGTGTAACTTAACAAAATTCATAACCCCGTAATCCGAATCCTATTTTAATCATGACATAACTCATTGACCATATACAAGTCTCAAGATGTTGTCATTCAGCTGTATACTTTTACAAATTCAACTCTAGTGATGATATATAATTATCCAATTATCCATGCCCCAGAATTGAGCCTGAAACTTGATGCTTGCAACAACAACAAAAACTAGGAAAGGGAACTTACCAAAACATTTACTTTGATTTGTTGCACGATCCACATAAACTTTAGCACTGATTACTGTTCCAAATGGCATAAACATCTGAGCCAATTCTGGATCGCCAAATTCCTGTGGTAGATGGTATATGAAAAGATTGCATCCCTCTGGTCCTACACACATACATACGTACACAAAGATGTTTGTTTCAAAATGGATATATACACTTATATATATATATATATATATATATATATATATATATATATATATATATATAAATACGGATATATCATTTATCGATTAGCATATAAATGAAGAAACAGACTCAAATTAATAACAAAGTTGATTGGACAATGTTTGTTTTTTGCTCAATAAATGAACATACGAATTAACATAGAAATCGATAACGACTATTATTCGAAAATTTAAAAAAACAGGGGACTATTGTTATGTAAATGTAACACTATTCAAAGTAAAAAAAAGCAGAATAATAAATATTCTAAATAATTATCTCAACCAGCAAAGTTAACATGAGAGAAATACAACATAAGCATAAATAATGTGAACTAGATAGAAGTGATATGCTGTTCAGTTTGTGGGGTGTTGATCAAATTTTTAACGAATTTTCTTACAATCAGGTGCATTAATTTAACCTTTAGAAACCAATCAAGTATTCTCAATAAATAGTTGTAGAGATTGGTAAATTTTACCGGAATCATGAACCGATCAATGTTTGGTAAATTTTGAAAACCTATTGGTCAAGATGTTGTACATTCGTATACGGGGCCGAAGTTCTCCAGTTTCGATTCTCCGTAAGCAGGTTAGTGGATACGCACTGCTAAGCAGTCAGTCCTACACTTGAATGATATGGCCATCCAGTTCTCCAAGAGTTTTAATGGTAGTCAAACGTTGACCGGTTTATGAATTCACTGAATTTCAAATGTATCCAAGTGGATTACAGTTGGTTTCAAAAATTTCTCAAAACAATTATTGATGCAAGAACATTTTATTTTTTCAAATAATAAAACCTTGAAATTTTTTCTAGACATTCATAATAAAACTAACTAATCTGGAATAAGTGATCAAATTTTCCTACACATTGAACGTGGAAAGTAGGGAATAAATTTATTGTGTATTTGATTATGATATCACACAACGGTAGTAATAGTAGTAGTAGTAGTAGTAGTAGTAGAAGTGGTAGTAGCAAGAGTTGTAGTAGTAATAGTAGTAGCGTAGTGAATGGGAACACAGGTGGGGCAACCGGATTGTATTTAACGAAATTTGCAGAGTTACTCAGTAAAATCGGAAAACCATATCGTAAATTGTTAATTTGCAAAATATCAGTTCATCATATCGAACTGGACTGTTCCAGTTGCAAAACATCAATCCAATGTCACTACTATTCATGCGTTTCATACAAATTCCATTGTGTTCTATCTAACTCTACCTTTCTTGATCTTCCCCCATCTTCTGCTGCCAGACATTATGTTGACACTCACGTCATATACTACTTATAAGTAGCTCGAACCACAGTAGTAGTAGTGGTAGTAGTAGTATTAGTCGGGTAAGTAATAGTAATAAGTAGTAGTAGTAGTAGTAGTAGTAGTAGTAGTAGTAGTAGTAGTAGTAGTTGTAGTAGTAGTATTAATAGTAGTAATTCTAGAAACAGTTACCGCTGTTTTTAAATATTGCATTTATCTATCTTATGTTTATTTCATGTATTATAAATTTAAGTAGATTGTACTTATCCGAATCTTAGTGAAAAAGTTAACACAAAATAAATACGAGTATAATCTATCCAATAAATACACAAATTGGATTAAAATTAAAAATCTATATTTTAAGAACGTTTATTGAATATCATTCAATTTTATCCCATTTCAAAATGCATTCTCTCCCCATCTGTTTTAGTTCATTAAAATTTATGTAAGCACATAAATTTTAGTATGAAGGAGCACCTGTATATTGTTTATGTACCATACAAATCAGTGAATGTGTTAGTAGGCTAGGATACTGCATGAATGCCTGAATTGAAGCTTGATTTTTTGTAGGAGACCACATCAAGGGTCTTTGACTTAAAATTCCAATCCAAAAGGCAGTAGAACAACGTAATGAGATGTAGTCCTATGATAGATGGTGACCAACAATAGGTTCATAGTGGAGCCAATGTGAGCCAGTGGTTTGGAATCAGAACCTTGTGAAGCGATAGGTCGTTAACTTGTTAATGCCATTGACAGATATAATTGACGCGGTAAAAGGAACAAAAATAGATGACTCGTTGAAATATTTTAATGGTAATAAACAGATAGTCCAAAAATTCAAGCACGCCGCTCTACCCGCCACCAATCTGGTTAAAATGTTGAATATTTGCCTTTCATCCTCTCAATTTCGTGGAAAACATTCTCGTCGGGAAAAGGTGGTGAGTAGGACTTCCATAGCAGTGGCCAAATATGCATGGTCATATGAGAGGATTTCGAGTAAGCGAGAGCTTAACATTCGTTCATATTGTACTAAAGAATCTTGGAAGTTATCAGAAGTCAGGCTTTTTGAATAACACAACGTTTTGATATAATTTCCACAATCGCAAATTATTTACTTGAATCGTTTGCACCGAAGATAGTTGAAAATTTAGTTCACCAACAAGAATCCTAACTGTTAATTCGCGAATGAAAGGAGCAAGAGACAGGACAGGTCAACTGTTCTCATCAGTGTACACGAAATCGAAGTCAATCCTAAGCTCGTATCGTCATTTTAGTCTGCATGGTTAACAGTGAGCTGTTTAATTCACAGGAAAAGAAGTATACATAACCATGTTCTGTCTGACATTCTAGTAATATATCTATCGAATCTGACTGAATTCAATGTATGTGGTGGATACTACTCATAAGGCGGCAAAAAAGTAGTATGCAGCTGAATGTCGCCTAGAAGTTATTATGAAAATTAGTGTCTAAACATGAAAATGCATAGCGCGATCACAGGACGTTGAAAACTAGAAGAGATGTGAGAGAAGGCAGTCAATAACCTGCTTGTATTGCAATTGTGTATATATTTTGTGAATAACCGGTATATATATATATATATATATATATATATATATATATATTACTTACATTGCCTTGAAAAGTCTTATATTTTTTGCTCTAAGTTTTGTACTACTGACAAATTTACAGTAGGCTTATGCTAAAAGTATTAATATCTATAGGATAGAATGTATATATATATATCAGCATGGATCATTTAGTTAACAAACAACGCTTGCTTATTTGTTTATCAAACTGAAATATATGACACACGACAAATAATTGTCTACATTCATGATGACAATAATACGAACTACATCAAAACAATTTGTGTGCACAGAACAAGGTATTATTAAATATATTATAACACTGCATTCTGTGTGTATTTGTATACTGAAACTGTTTATCCCCTTTTCAAACTTAACCTTTTGTACTACTGAAATACAGCATGTGTGTACAGCAGAGACAATGAAGATGAAACAATAGTATTCATGACTGAAATGCACACGTACAAATAGTTACACACACACACACACTGGTACAGACAGACGTTTACGTACATTGATTCACTGAAACATTGATAAATCAATAAACTGACGAAAATATAGAAAAATGCAATAGAAAAAAACAGTACAAGAAGATAATCCTTAATATTTTAGAGCAAAGCGATCGATATAATGGTAGTTTCAGGAGTAAGTAATGTGTGTAGTAGTAGTAGTAGTAGTAGTAGTAGTAGTAGTAGTAGTAATAGTAGTAGTAGCGTTTACATGAATGAAACAATTGACAACGTCAATAAATTATCTGTCAAATATAAATATACAGAATACTGTCGAATTTCGATTGCAACGGCTATAACATCAACAACATTTCAACAAAATTATTATTATTGTGGATATTATTATTATTATTATTATTACTATTACTATTTATTACAGTCACTGATTCACAAGAAGCAACATAATGGTATTTGACTAACAATGTCAACGATAATCATGATAGCAATGACACGAATAAGTACTTTTTTTGTAACAACAGTTGGATAGAGAGATGAACAGATAAATAAACAGACATATAGGTAGATAGATGGATAGATAGACACACTTAGTTACTTTTTACTTATTTGGTCATTGAACGAATCATCATCGGGACATACAATTCGATTTTTAATGTTTTTAACCAATAGACAATGAAAATAAGGGAAAAATTACACACACACACACACACGCACGCAGCACTACACACTAAAACACATAACACGCACTGGTGCAATGCTCACAGTAAAGACTTGATTTGTTTTTTTTTAGACTTGTGGCACAACTAATTTACTCATATCAATTATGAGTATTCATAGTAAGAACTGTTTTATTTTTTGATTGAAAAATACACAACGTGAACTACTAATTCAATATGACGACATTTTGAAAGCACATTCTGATTGTGTGTGTGTCATTGAGTTGGATAAGAAGTTAATTAACATGGAAGACAAACGCACAAACGAACAAACGAAAAACTTGGGGATTAAATTTACCGTTGATCATTTGTTACATTGTTGGCTAATGAAGAAAATCAGATAGAATAGTAATAATGATAATAATAATAATTATAATAATAATGATAGTAATAATCATATGAGTTATGAAAGTAAATTTAAACAAACGTATTGAACGTATTGAACCGCTGAGAGAATTTTGTTTCACTCAACTAAATTCAACTAATCATCCGCGCAATAACTTGCATCGTCGCATTATTTTAGTGAAATGTAGAATAACTAAACGTTTGTATGTTATCGACCCAAAGAAAGAAATGATGAAGTTTGTTCAGAACAGTGGTGTTCCCTTTGATAAATTTGAATAGAGAAATGAGAAGACATATATTGTGAGATAGAGTACCATTTCGTGCTTTCTCGTCAATCACATACATACAAGCAACATGTTATTTGTGTGTAAATACAGTTTTGAAGATAAGGTCAAAATTTCTTATTTAGCCTGATATTATTCACTCACTAGAAGAACCACGGTAAACAAAGGTCAACACACCTTTCAAGGGTGATCATTGCATGAAAATTACAACCAAACAGACTGCAGCTGCAATAAAATAGACCTTCAATGCAGCTAATCTGAGGCTTATCACAACAACTCAATCGATCTCAGTTACTCCAATCAAGTCTCCAAGACCGATTCAGTCCAAACCCCACTGTATTTACCAATTCACATGTAACTGCGGAGAAAGTTACTTGGAAGACAGGATAGGGGACCATATTCCATAATGGCTAATCAAATCCATGTTTCATCAACCTAGCCCATCATCTCAAAATCGATCAAGAAACCCAGCCTCGTCCATTGCAAAACATCTAATGATGAGTGGTCGTCAAATTGACCCAAAATCAGCCTTTAGAGTTGTGACATGTCATCAAAACCCAAACATACTGAAACAACTCGAAGCTATCTTGATTGGTCGGAAAAGTCCAACTTTATGTGTTCAAAAACAACTGTATGTTGACCTTTGTTTACCATGGTTCTAGTGAGTGAATAATATCATGCTAAATAAGACATTTTGACCTTATCTTCAAAACTGTATTTACACAAATAACATGTTGCTTGTATGTGACTGACAAGAAAGCACGAAATGGTACTATCTCACGAAGTTTGTTCAGTTAACTCATAAACAGTAGATAAGTCATAGTTAAAATATCATTACTGAATAAAGAAATATATTTAACTGATTAAAAATATTAGAAATAATAAAAAAAGGTTAAGAAGAATCTCATTTATTGACTCAGTGTATCTTTTTATTGAATGTAATTTTCCTGGTAACTAAGGGTGACCTTGAATTTCAAATTGTATTGAACATTGACAAATTTTAATCATAAATTACTATAAATTACTTTAGTCAGACTAATACTGAGTTTGAATAGAATAGAATTAGTCAAAAGTGATTATGAAATCAAAATTATAAGTTATGAAGCAAAATTACATTGTTTTCAATGTTTTAGTAGATAATGTTATCTATCTATTTGTTACGCATGCACGTAAACATGTCAGTTGATAAGCTTGAACTATTACGAGTTTACCTTAGTCGGAAAACAAGAGCGAGGATTGTGGATCCGAAGACATGACATGCTACTCTAATCTGATTGTCCCAAACCCCACTTGAGTGAAAGAAAAAAACTTGATATGAAGTAGAACCTGTATTGTACACACAACCAGAAAGTACCAGGTCCAAGTCCAGAAGAAGGAAAGGATCCTGGACTGAGGAATTGGGTCCTGGTCCGGATCATAAAACATTGCAGATAATGCGTATTTATACATTTAGATCGAATAGTGAACAACATTTAAGTCTGCGACATTGGCAGTTAAGGCGACCAATAGGAAAAAAGATAGAAGTACGTGACATTGATAGCTAGGACGACCATAATATTAACCAATAGGAATTAACCAATAGAATTTACACTTGCAAAATGATTTATCGTGGGATATTTGATAAATATCCTAACACTATTTAACAGATAATAATAAGTTATTATGTATAAGAGCTTCCCATAAAGATGCAGCAATGTTAGCTATACTGTATTTAATTTTTCATTGTAGGGTTATGGAAATTGTTGAGTTTTCTTGAAATCGTGAATTGATCAATGTTAGACCACCATTAGAAACCTGAAAGCATTGGATGTCTGTATTGATTGAAGTTAGTCATTAACACCTTTGGATGACGGCTCAGTGATTTAGTGGTTAGGCGTTCGTGCTAGAGACTGAAGGCAGTGGGTTCGATTTCCGTGAGCAGATACCGTGAATGTGCCCTACTGATGAGTCCCCACACTAGGACGGAACGGACATCCAGTGCTTTCAGGTTACTAATATTGGTCTAACAAAGACTAATTCATGTTTTCAATGATACTGTATTTATGACAATTGTGTTTACAGTGATTATCACTGACATACTTAATCGTGGTGTTTTAAGGAGTCTACACTTTTAATTTGCTATATTTTTATAGCTATACCAACTGAGGATGAATTTTCGTGAGGGAATGATTGTTATCGGATCGATATATTTATCTATCGATCTTAAGTTTACCTTTATGAAACATGAAGAATTAATATTTAAAACTGAGTATCAGTTGGTCGCTTTCTTCATTTAATCAACCAATGTTTCAGAAAGCTTATTTGACTTTTCCTGTACCGTGAGTGAAAGACAACCATTCTATTCTATTTAAGGGATGTTAAACGTGTCGTTTGGAGATGGTAGACAATCATAATTTACTAGGGTTTGATCAGAGATATTTTGAATGCATTGACTTCATATTGGATTACTAAGTAAAGACGGTAAATCAGTTTGATGGAGTTGTGAGTCTTCATCAATGAATATAGTTAGCTCATGTATTAGAGATTCTCAAACATATCATATCTTTAAGGCACAATATTAGCTGATTCAGTAGTAAGTTGGAAGAAAGTTTTTTTCGGAGGTCAAAGCACAAAGTGGGATCATTTCATGAAATCACAGACTATGGATCTAAATCATGTTGGTAAGTGAAAACTGTCTAACTGCGTCCTGTCCAATGCTTGTAATTACTAGTTGGAGATGTTTGATGAGAGCTGGCACGTGTGCGTCCATTTGACTAAGTCGTTCACAGCTTAGGCGTTCGCGCGCATGGCCGAGGGTCCTGGTTTCGAATCCTCCAAGGTGCGGGAGTCGCGAACGAACACTGCTGCTGAGTTCCTAACCAGGACGGAAAGGTCGTCCAATGCTTCCAGGTTTCTAATGCTGGTCTAACATTGATCGATTCATGGTTTCAAAAATGTGTATTTATAACAATAAAAATTTAGTTTTTTAAATAGTAATAAGAATAAACATTTCTCCATTGTTTATAACTTAAGTGTAATTTCCCAGTATGGGTACATCTCTAGGCCTAATTTTAGCTGATTTCTATCTAGCAAGGTTACAAAATGGACTGCTTACTTAGGCTATTAAGAAAGTAGATCTATACTACCGCTACATCAAAAAAATACTCATTATAGTAGATCAGAATACCACTAAGGAAGAACTCCTAGGACAGTTCAACGGTGTACGACCGGCAATTACTTTCACAGCTGAGGATGAGTGTGACAGAAAAACTGAACTGCCTTGATATCACAAGCGTGTATAGAAAGAGTTCATCCCATTAACAACACACATTTATAGTTTTGCACTTAACTGTTACAAAAGAAGTTTGATTAGATGTCTTACAATCAGAGAAAATATGATCTGTTCAGCTGATACTTTAAGAAAGGAGCTAGAATTTATTAAAAACTTACTGACCGAGATCGGATGCGCTAGTAGCTTCTAAAAGAAATACATGTATACAGAGGAAAACAAAGCGGAGACTTCGACTATTAGGCAGAAACCTTTATTTCTTAAAGTATAATTCAAAGGAACTGTGGCTAGTAATGTCCTGCGTGGAAGATTAGCGAAGGCAAATAGTAGGACATTCTATGCAATCAATCTTGCGTTGATATTCTCCGGTCGATCAGTGATCTCTACTCAAACGAAGGATAATTTACCTAAATTGGCCTCCTCAATATGCATTTATAAATTCAGCTGCTCCAATGGAGATAGCTGTATTTGGCTTACTATCAAGCGAATGAACCGACGAATGAGTGAACATCTCCCAACATAGTTTCAAAAAGGGCCAGATAAAAAAAAATACGCAGCTCTCTCTGAGCACACCTGATTGATAGTGGTCATAATATAGATAAAACCTAATCATTTCAAGGGATCTATCGTATACCTCCATCATTTCTCAACAGAGTTTAATGTCATCTCTTACAAAAAGCGGAATCCATAGGATTCTGAACATTAGATCCCAATTTATGTATTCAGAAGAAATTCCTGAGACCCCTGTTCCTTCCCTGGCGGCGTTTTACCATACAATAATATAGGTTATTGTCAATAGTTCAAAACTAGAAGGCGTTATGGAGATCATTGTTTTTAAACACAGAAATCACGAATCAATCATTGTTAAACTGTTGATAAGTTTCATACCAGGACGAAACAGGGGTCCAGCACTTCCAGGTTTTTTTTAATGGTGGTCTAACAATGATATTGATTCATGATTTAGATTTGAAAGTTGTTTGAAATATAGTTGACCAGTAATAATCTTATTAGATTCTGACTTTTAATGATTGATCTCTTTCTTTTGATTTTATAACTCTGATAAAATGTATATTTCTAGTCAGCAATGCCAACCCAGTGGTTTAATGGCTAACATTCCTGAAGGTTCTAGCTCTGAGCTCTGACGAAGAGACTAATGTTCACTTCAAGGGAGTTCTGTACGCAAACAACCAACTGGTGTTCTCTGTTATCCAATAGCAAGCACCTCAATATAGGTTAGTCTGTGATGCATGTTTCACAAAAATAAAAGAACTTCTTTCACAAATCCTCTTTATCGAAAACATGAATGAGATTTTCATCACGAACAGACATTTATTTGGAAAATTACTGAAAACCAACGAATAATGAACAGTGTTTGAATGATATTGTGTGGACTTGCGAAATCTCAACTCTTCATGAAACTATCTTATTCAATGATAAAATGAATTTACTTTTGATAGGGAGAGAGATAGAGAGATTAGATTGTTTTCATGGTATTATCTTGTTAGTTTAGTCTAATTGAATATAAAATTTACGTTACAAAGAAATGATCAATGAATAGAGCTTAAATCATTTTAGAAGAAATACAGTTCTAGATTTAAATCGTTTGTAAATTTTTAAGACAAAATGGATAGTAATATTTTAGCAAGAATTAAAAATGGATGACAGAACCTTTGGATAAACTTAGATACGATTGTTTAAGTGAATAAAGGTCAAGGTGAACAATATGGCGGACAATTAAACAGGAAATTCAATGAGTTAACAAATGTGTGTGTGTGTTTAACTGATCATTACATACATTACAAAAGTGTAATCATTTTAAATCAAATGCCCTACCTGTTAATATTAGATCTTTAGTTCCTTCCTTCTGTTGTATAGGCATGGTAAGTGCTTGATGTGCCATTGTAGCGAATGGATTTAAAGCTGATGTGACCGGTGAAGGATAAGCTAATTAAAACAAATTTTATTCATTGAACAGATGATATATTAATCAATAAATAAATAACCCATACATACACATTAGTTTATGTATATACCAGTTTAAAACAAAACAAAACATGTCAACATTTCAATTGATAGATATCATTATTAGAATGTATCATTTTCATATAACAGTTGTCTACGTAAAATACGTCGGATTCGTTGGCCAGGCACCATTAGCAACAACGTACTGTGGGAGAGAAAAAAAACTAGATCCCAGTGGAGGAGGAAATCAGGAAGAAGTGGTGGAGTTAGTGGATAGGACACACACTACGAAAAGCACCTAACTACGTCACGAGACAACCTCTCACATGGAACCCTCAAGGCAAAAGGAAAAGAGGAAGTCCAAAGAACACATTACGCCGAGAAATAGAGAAAGATATGAGAGGAATGAACAAACATTGGACAGAACTGGAAAGGGAAGCCCAGAACAAAGTTAGTTGGAGAAAACTGGTGGCCTATGCTCCATTGTGGGTAACAGGCCTAAATAAGTAAGTAATTAAGTAAGCATAATCATCATTCGTCTTTTGGCGATAAAGCTTCATACTCATTTACTGGTTTACACGCTTATTTTAGCGCTTACAGATGAATATAGTGACAAGATTGGATTGTACTACATAATACACTTAGCCATCAGATGAATAAATTAAAAGTTTGTTAGGCTAATACCAACAATTAAAATATGATAGATGTGTTACTTTTAATCGACAAGGCTAGTTATGAAAGAAAAAGACTTTTTTTCAAAACTGATTAAACTAGTCAAATATCAATACCGAATCGTAATTGTTACGCCTGCACGTAACAACGTCAACTTGATATACTTGAACTATTACGAGTTTACCTAGTTGGAAAACGAGAGCGAGGATCGAGGATCCGGTGACACGACATACTACTCAAATCCGATTATCCCAACCCCTATATTTAGTAGAAATAAGAAGACATGATATGAAGTAGAACAAGTATTCTACAAGCATCCAGAAAGTACGGGGTCCGAATCCAGAAGAGAATCAGGGATCTGGGTGCCGGGTCCGTGTCATAAAACGTTATAGATAATGTGTATCTTTACATTTTGGTCGAATAGGAAACAACATCGAAGTCTATGACATTGACAGTTAAGACGACCAATAGGAAGTAACATCTGAAATGACATTGACAGTCCGGATGACCAATAAGAGACGACATTGAAGTATTTAACTTTAACAGTTAAAACGACCATAATTTTGACCAATAAAAATCGAGGAATAGGATTTGACTAATAATTCCCTTAGGATATTGGATGAATATCCTAACAGCAATTTTGTCAAGTCTCATCTTTTAGATTGAATGATTTGAGTGAATATAAACAAAATCTTGGCGTTTAATTCTATGCATATGTATTAAGGCTGATGGAACGCTCATCTTTAATAAGCAACTATCAGTAGATTTTGATTAGATGCAAAAATGATTCGTCAAGAACTATGCTATACAAACTTGATTACTTCATAAACTTGCACCGCGTAAGATATTTTAATTAACATGTTAATATTACCCAATAGAAATCTAAATATCTGTTGTGAATGTTTATTATTCTTGAAACTGAATAGTTAAGAGAATTTAGAGCAAGGAGTTTGATGATTAAACTATTCAACTTTTAACTACTGACTTACAAGCTGAAACATTGTTAGATCTTATTGTTAACACACATACTACTATTATAGCTCTTTCTACAAGGTATTACGACTTGATGACAATTTTTCGCTACTGAGTCATGGAGATTGTTGTTTACTATCGAAACCATGAATCAATTATTGTCAGTCCACCATCAGAAACTTGGAAGCACTGGACGGCCGTTTCGTCCTAGTAGTGAGCATCCACGATCCCTGCTGCTCACAGAATCTTCGGTTTTGTGCGCGGATTCATGAGCTCTAAGCCAGTGAACCGGTATCCAATAGTGTTAATGTCTAACTCCATTCCTGCAAGTAGCGGGTGTCCTGGATGCTCACTGCTGATGATTTCCATACCAGGACGAAACGGCTATCGAGTGCTTCCAGATTTCTAACGATTCATGATTCAAGATTTCAATAATTAATGACAGTTATTTTATTAGTAGAAGGATGAGATATCACCTAATTTATGTAGAATAGTACGAATTACCCTTCTATAATTAAATAATCATATTTCAAACAATTTTCAAAATCAAAAAAGAGAAATCACATGACATTTAGATGAAGAGAAATCACTTACATAATCCATAAGTTGGAACATTAGGATATAAATGAGAAAGTGCTTCAGTAGGAAGTCCAGTTAGTGGAGATGTTAATGTGTTTAATCCAAATGACGTATTTGATACTTATGAAGAGAAAAAAAAACAGCAAATTATTTTTAAATTATTCACAAACAAGATGATTTGATGAAGAATTTTGTTCCGTTTAAGATTAGATTACCATGTAACTAGTTTCTCAAGTACCCGATGTTGATATATAATAGATTTCAATCTCCCACTGGGTTGGTAGGCTGAAGAATCTATTACTTACTACTCATACTGCTGTGGTGCGCGCTACTTATAAGTAGTATATGACGCGAGTAAAAACGTAATGTCTGACAGCAGAAGATCAAGGGGAAGATCAAGAAAGGAAAAGTGGGAACACAATGGAATTTGTATGAAGCGTATGAATAAGTGAAATGTCAGACAATGGATTGATGTTTTACAACAGAAACAGTCCAGTTCGATATGATGGATTGATATTTTGCAAACTAACGATTTACGATATGGTTTTCCTATTTTACGAATTAACTCTGTAATTCGGTTACCCTCACCTGTGTTCTCCTTCACTACAATACCATAACTATCGCTACTACTCATATGTGACGTAAATCTAGTATGCAAAATGTGGTTCGAACCTATGATTGACTGGTTTGAAACGGAATGCTCCAACACAATATGTATTCAATAATCTAGCTGTTAAACTGAGCTTATTATGGAAAATCACTTATCAGTTGTTATACTTTTTATTCTGAAACTACTCACCGGTAACCACCAACGATCTGCAGTGGAATAAAGTCCACATCTTGTTAGTTTTACAGCGCACATTATGAATACAATTTAGACTCTACAACAAAGAAATAAGAGTTCACGTTTCCAATCTCAATCATTTTAGGATATGGTACGACCATCCATTCAATTTCATTGGAGAGTTGTTTAACTCTACTCTCAAACACTGGAAATCGATTTCAATGCTAGTCACTTGTAAATACATTATGATTATGTAAGTTGTATCAAATATGAAGATGACCTTTAATCTAGTTGAAAATAAATTTCAACATGAAGTAAAAATTGACTATTTTCATTGTAATGATTCTATCTATAGCTAAAACTACTGTATTCTAGTATCTTAACGATAAATTTGACTCTTTGAAATTCCCATTTCTACATTCATTTTAACAATATTCAACATTGTTGTGCGGTCATTTGAATTCACGGATTATCATATTGTATATAGTCTTATTGTATGATTACTGAGTAATTCTCTGTATCCTTGTATCTATTGATTAATTCACTAACTACCATTATAGAGTTGATTATTCCTAACCAATGTCTAATCTCCTCTACTCACTGTAACCTTTGACTCGTTTATGTATAATTGTTAATCCCCCATTTATTACTGCAATGTGGTCTGGTTTTGTGTGTTTGTAAAGAAATGTCTGAAATATTAGTTACGAATCTTGGACTGATAGTCATTGGGACAAGTTATTATTGGACCGTCCTTCGAGCATAGAGTAATACGTCTGTCGTCCTCGTTGCTTATTGATTTATTCAAAGGTCATCTGTGTTTTGGTTGGTATAAAGTACATAACACTCGCGTAAGCTACTAAATAAGGATATTTTTAAGTGAAAGTGTATCTCTCATTTAGATCAGTTACATATAGGTCATCCATTAAGTGTGTTCGATCAAGTGTACACTGCAACTGAATGAAATTTGACAGAACTGTAACAAAGTACTTAATTAATGTAACGAACTGTTAACTAATCAGAATGATGTTTTTTTGCAAGTAATCACATAATACACTGGTTCTAATCTGTGTAAAATCTTCAATATACGTTTACTAGCGACTGAGTCGAAGAGAAATTCTCAAAGTTTACGCGGAACGTCGTCTGTGATCAGTGAATTGAACTGTATAACACAAATCACATATAATATAGTAGTAATAACGAACAATAAACTTACTAGCTTGATTTAAAGGAAGTGAAACTGTACCAAGACCACTGAGAGTTACTGATGGTTGGTGTGTCCCAGGAATTGCATGCAGAGCTGCTAATGTATGACCACTACCAGTCCCGGGAGATCCTAAGCCCGTCGTTTGTCCTGTTAAACCACTCAATGTTGTTCCATTTGAATTCACACTGCCTGTAACATTGCCATTTGCCATTGCAACAACAGCTGCGGCAGCGGCAGCCATTGCGGCATTCGAACTAAGTGCAGCGGCGGCTGCTGCTGCTGCTGCCGCCGCGGAAGAATTTCCATTATTACTATTATTGTTATTATTATTTGAATTACCATTGCCTGTTGTATCGCCAGCAATACATCCACTGTTTACATTAGATAAAGCTGCCATTTGAGGTGATAATTGTGTTAGTTGAGGATTTTGGCCAGACATACCAAGTACAGCGGCGGCAGCTGCTGCTGCAGCCATTGGATTTGTATGACAATTAGGCGATAGATTCACACTACCTGAACGTGGACTATGATGCAATAGCGGAGTATAACCTAAATGTCCATTGGAACTATTAGTCAATGCAGAAATCATTGCTAAATTGGTTACATTCGTTGGTAAATTGACTGTGGCTAATTGACTAGCATGTTGAAGTTGTAATGCTAATGCAGCGACTGGATTTATATAACCAGTTGTTTGTGCCATATTCTAAAAAAGGTTAAATAGAAATGAATTATCAGGTTTAAAATGTATTAGTGTATAGCAAGCATTGGGAAAATCGCTATACATTATACGATGATTTTCGTGAGTGTTTCATGAGTTGACTAACAAAATAACAAAATAAAAACTGTTTAAAATGAAATTTCAAATATTTTTTGCGAATACACATTGATCATTTACACTGAGTTGATTTGATTGAGACAGGCATAACAAAAATGAACAAAAATTGGTCAGAACTGGAAAGGGTGGCCCACGACAGAGTAGGTTGGAGAATACTGGTCGGCGGCCTATGCTTCACTGGAGGTAACAGGCGTAAGTAATTTAGTAAGTAAGTAAGTAGGCAAGTAAGTAAGTAAGTAAGTAAGTAAGTAAGTAAGTAAGTAAGTAAGTAAGTAAGTAAGTAAGTAGGTAAGCAAGTAAGTAAGTAAGTAAGTAAGTAAGTAAGTAAGTAAGTAAGTAGGTAAGTAAGTAAGTAAGTGAGTAAGTAAGTAAGTAAGTAAGTAATTTGAGTGAATAAAGAATTTTAAATTTATAAGTGTCACTTCAAATGATAATCACCACTACGAATTGTCTACAATACAGTAATTTGATTACTGTAAGTTATTCTCGACTTAATAATTTTTGGACTACCCTGCTTTGTAAATTATTAAGCATTCAGTCTTATGAAGTATGATTGATCCGGTTAGGTAATTATGTCGACCAATCGTATTCTTTAATAAAAACCTATTAAACATACTTTACATCTATCTCTAATTAGCTGGGAATTCCAGACAAGCTTAATGGGCTTATCTGCAACATTGAGTCATGTAATCATCGCGATTATCGCGATGTTCGAATAGACTTTTCTGTCAACAGTGTAGTATAGAGACGAGTCAGTCACAGGTGCCAAATAAAATTCTAGGCTTTTGCTCGAAATTCACATATCATATATCTGTCACTTCGCTTATCATATGGCTAGGTTATTTTTGTCTGACTATAAATACTTAGTCACATCTCATCCTATTGAGTTGGCCAACTGGCCTTCTCTACTTTGCTACATTTCGCTTCTCCACTTTTCATGGTCATTTTTGTCTGCATGCACGACTACACGAAACAAACTTATCCAACTGAATCCATATTTAGCTTCTTATTACCGACGTTACATAAACAGCATTCGTCTAAGCACGATATATGGCAATTAGATGAAATGTATAATTTCATAGTATATTTAATTGTTCGTCTAAACTGCAGTCAGATATCGGGTCACTAAAAGTCTTAAATGATAAATTCACACAGTTGTTACCGTGATCGACATGTTGTAAAACGTTGGTAAGATCGGTGACACTATTTAGTCGTATGTTCAGGCATTGGGCTCACACATCATATCACTGGACACCACCGTCACTTGTCCATTAAGTATGAGATGTGGTCGAAATAAGTCAACTAGACAGTGTGATTATCCACACTGAGATGAATTCTGGGGTGTTGGAGCTAGCGTGCGAGCGTCAGTGTGTGCGTGTGCGTTTACGAATCAGTATGACGTGTAGTGATCAGCGCCAATCGACAGAGCATCGCCGATGGTGCTTGAAAATGACCAAATGTTGCCCAGTGCATCCAACGTGTGCTCACCGAGTCGTGTAGAAATTGACAGGCATTGTAGGTGGGTGACTCAGTCCAGACATCACTAGGATCGTGGGCTGGTTGAAGTCGGACATCATTTACTTTGCATGTCGGGTGGGTGATCTTGAGGATAAGCGTTTATACGCCAGCCCGAAGGTCCTGAGTTCGATTCCCCAAAGGGAGGGTTCGTGCGTGCGCACTGCTGATTCTAGGAATAAACGGGCGACTAGTTTTTTCCAGATTTCTAACAGTCATGGTCTAACAATGATCGATTTATTATTTCAATGAAACTACTTATCAACTGTTGGGGATTTTAGATCCCCAGAACTCGCTTGATAAATGTCCCGATTTTGGATTTCACGTTTGCCAGCATGTGCTGATCAGTTGACCTTGAGGTTTCATTTCCCACCAGGAAAATCCATGGCTGTGATTGGCTGCTGTGTATTTTAGTGTGCTATTTTCGTAACTGTCCCAAGGACGTTTCTATGATGTATAAATAAACGAGTTTTGTGTGCTTGATTGTATTGTGTGATTGCTGGGTGTTTGTAGAATATACTTTCTACGCTTACCAAGCCTTCTGTTTACAGCTTGAGATTCAAGGTAGCCTACCTAGACGCTGATTAATTGTCTCGTTCGCGTTTATCGACTAAGGTGAACTCGTAATAGCTTGAAGTGTACTAAGTGACGAACCCTACAATTAACACAATAAATACTATCGATATTCAGCGGCAACTAGTAGGTATTACCAATAATCAAACAAAGCAGTCATTTTTATATTCAGTAAACAAATAAAATCTATGTTTTTGTTATACACACATGTTTACCTCGATCATTTGTGAATACATATTGCCATTAAGTTGAGACAATGCGATAGTTGGATTGAATAAACCCATTGGACCAATTAATTGTTGAATTTTCCTTGTATGACGTTCTTTTTCACTGTCAGCAAATTTCACTACAATACTTGATGAAGCACCCTGACATGATTTGGCGTGATGTTCATCGTGTTATTGTTGATGATAATGATGATGTTGTTTTTTTATGAGCGAATTGTATCGATTTTCAGCGGGAATTACAACGTGGTAATGTGAAAAACAAAACGAACAAGAGTTATAATTTCTATTTAGGCGAATTCAGTTGCATTAAGAAATATATATACATATAGTAGTTAGGTCAGTGTTCAAGATGTACACAGAAATATTCATTAGTCTTTAGATATCATATCCCCTCCGTTATTGTAAGTGATTTCCTCCATTCTAATGAGTAGCTATGATGAATATAATTCCATAAAGTTGAATGTGAGGCAGTAACCCGTCAATGACAACGAATAACGAGTTGTACAACATTATCTATTTGATCAGAGTTAAGAATCCGAACGGTAGTGTACCGACACTGAAGCATCTAAAGATGTCAAGCGATAGTTGTGGAACTGAATCATTGAACGAGAGTCCTGATTACAAATTGTCGGCGCAGGTTGCATGCCACAATGAAATAACTGTACAACATATCTGGGTAATATATATATTCTTTGTTCAACTAAGGCAAGTTTGTTCTGCCAACTAGAGATATTTTTATACAGACCAACTTATTCCTTTTCTTTTTCGGGTAATTAAAATGACAGTGCATTAGATATAACTCAGCTTTTTTTATTGATGAATTCTACTCAAATCGATATTTTGCGCTTATATCATTGTGTAATCAGGTCGTTTACTTGTACAGACACGTGATGTATATTAATCGGCATTATAAAGAAAAAAAACTTTTGAGCAATCGGTATTCAATTGATGATAAAAATGAAATTGTACATTAATAAAATTGACAATTGAACTATTGGCGGCATTATAAACAAAAAGTGAAGTAAAGGTTTATTTAGGACATTTTGTACTTGCGCACACACACACACACACACACACAAAGTACACACCAACAACAACTTACCGGCATTGTTTGACTTCCATGTAATGTGAGAATAGCGGATTGTGCTTCTTGTTGAGTTGAGAATTTTACAAATGCGCAGCCTTTTTAAAAAAAATATAAAAGAACAAATGTTGCTCTGATATATATATATAATACTGTTAAGCAGAAGTTAAATTGTCAATGTTCAATTGTTCAATCACATGGGCTATACAATTCAATATTCATTATCAATCACATTTTATGCTTGACTATTAGCACTTATAGTTTTAAACTCCTCATTGGCATACATTAATGATTTAGAAAAAAGATTTAATCAACGAAAATGATGTTATACCCAACAAATATAGTACTCATCGAAATCACGAATAGAAAAATGTTAGATCACCACTGTCAGGAACCTGGAAGCACTGGATGGCCGTTTCGTCTTGGCATGGGACTGATCAGTGGCAGTGAGCATCCACAACTCCCACGCCTCGCAGGATTCGAACCCAGGACCTTCGGTCTTGCGTGCGAACGCCCGACCTTTGGAACACTTAGCCGGTGTTTAATGGTGTTGATGTTTAACTTCGACCAATTCATGGTCTTGCGCAACCTCATACACCTTCTTCGGTAGTTACTGTCTACACACGAACAGGTTGAACTTCACTGGTTACGACCTCTCCATAGAGCTCGGAGAAGTTTATTCATGGAGCTAGTCACTAGTGAACACTGGATTATGGGGTTGTGAAGATTGTTAAGTTATACATTTTTGAAACCATGAATCGATCAATGTTAGTAATTTTAAACAAAAAACAATGAATTAAAAGCCAATGGTTTATATTTCCGAATTTCATCACTTTATAATATGGTAGTACATGATCCTTAGGCTATACGATCGATGAGTTTTGATCTTACTGTTTAAATTTAGTCAAAGCTACTTGTTAAGGCCGAAATTTTCTATTGAGGATTTAAAAAATCCAATACAAATTAGGCAATAAGGAATTATTATGTTTTATTTTATAGAATAAAAATCGATGAAAAACAGCTAACAATAAAGAGAGTGGTAGTGGTTTGTTTTACTTTAGTTTATTACTCTTTGCCCATGTATGTTTATGATCCAGTGAATGTTTGTGGATGGGATTTCCTGTGGTGAAATTCCTCTTTGAATAACTCAGTTTAATTTTTCATGGTAAAAGAATCATACTCACTACTAAGCGGTATTATCATATTATTTCTGAGTTGTATTCTTGGTTAACCATCATGCCTGTTGCACATGCACGCTGCTGTATATTAAGCAACACAAGGGCCAATATTGCTATCACCCCTGCCCCATACAGGAACGTACATGCTGTCTAGATTTGTATGCAGACGAGTGGACGTCCAAAAAGCAAGCACACGAGCAGTGGCCCCCGTTCTGGCACTTATGAATCAACTCAATCCCTCCAACCAATCCACTAACCACAATCCCCAATCGGTAAGGGCGGCAAGGTGGACTTTCCCAACTAGACCTGGTGCCTCGAATGGATTAACGAGCCACCGAGCAGTGCACTAACCAGCAGTCATTTCAACCGTCTAGCCTCCAACTGCCTTGCGCTGATACAATCGACCGGAGCCCTCAGACCCCACATCAAGATAAAGATCGAGTTTGTCCCACAAAATCAGCCGGAACCTACACCCTCCCATTAGAAATCAAGTCAAATTGAACAGGTGTTTCGTCTTAATGCGGCATTCAAAGGAGTGCGCATCGATGATCTTACCACAAGAACTCTCAATTATTAAACCTGTTGAGTTGATATCTAATCTGATGATAATCCCAAGTAGAACGAAATATCTCTTTAATGCTTCATGCTTCCCAATGGCACTTCAACTGACATGGACTGGCGACAAATACAACTTAAAAAATTCAAGCCAATTCCTACAAGACCTATTCAGTTGAACAAGGAAATCAACACACTTAAAGAATTTGAATGTAAATTTGTAATCGATTATCAAATACATTTTTTTATTACCTTTACTATTACCACTTTGATCTCGAAGTATTGTACACTCTTCAATTGTACCGAATGGTTCAAATAATAATCGGACATCTTCTTCATTTTGCTGTTTACTTAACATACCAACAAACAGTTTACGTTCTTCTATTTAAACAAAGAAACAAACAAATAAACAACCGATCAATAAAATAAACTGTCAAGGTTTATTTTTGTTCAATGATACTTGATCAAAAATTTGAACATTGAACAATTAAATGATGCAATAATAAAAAACTACGATTAGATGATTGCACAAAGTGTTACATGCATATTAGTTAAACTTCACAGCTCACTATTTCATATCAGAACTCTGGAAAACGTGCTTGGGAATTTCCAATCAAACATCTTTCACTCTTTTAGATTAAAAACTAATTTCGTTTATCAACCAGTCCTTAGTTTTACCATATGTGTTATAATTTTCTATTACTTTGTACTTTATAATTGGTTGTTTTTGAGAATAAACTCACTTATTATTAAATCTTATTTGTTAATGATATAAGTTACATTTCAGACTAATAGATTGTAAGACTTATTTTGACATGTAAAATAATTTTGATTTTCAGTTCAAATCTGTTTATCAGAAATCCTTTTAGGAGTGTACATTTTAAAAATGATGTTCAAAACGTATTAAATTTATATAATTAATTTTAACTACTAATATTTAATTCAATAAGTAAAAATTTATATGCAAAATAATTTTTCGTCTTCTTACAAAATGGAACGAGCATTTAATAACTAACTGATATGAGAAAGTGGTTGCGTTAAATTCGATGTAGGGCTCACCAATTTAGTGACCCATGGTTTGACTCCATCTTGGATGAATTATTAAATTTCCGTATATTATGCTTAGGTGAACCTTATTTGTGAGATGGCGGTAAAAATAAATTAATCACGGTTTTGCGGATTAATTCAGTTCATACATTCGTTTAACAGATAGGCATGAGAATGAAAAGTGTACAAGCAGAGAGAAGCAAATCAAAGAGAAGGAACCTACTCAATCCAATGAAGCATAACCAAGTATTTATAGTCAGGCAATAATAAGTTACACATGAGATAAGCGAAGTAGGCATGTACGCACAACTCAAAAATAACCAAGGTTATAAGCGGATGATTTGAAATGATCGAACGACATGTGAATAACTTGAAAACAATAAATCAAATAATTTTTCCAAAGGCTGAGACAAGTCCTGTGAGCTCAACAAAATAGTGCACACACTAGAATAGAGTTACTTCTAATCGCCAAATATAAAAACACCGTCACATCTCAAAGTGGACGACGCGATTTTAAATTCCATTGTGAATATCTCTTCCTTCATGTTTTTAGACACTTCTTTGTGATGAGTTTGAAAGCTAAGTTTTAAGGTTTCCGTACTAACAAACAATCTGCATCATCTATCGTCACAATTCTAATTACTTTAAATACTCATAGTCACAAATGATCAGCAACAATCAATAAAAGTTAATTAGCTCAAAACATGATGAATCAGTTAGCAAGAAAATATTAAGCTTGTATTGTATGATAAACTATTATTATTATTATCATTAGAAGTAGTAGTAGTAGTAGTAGCAGTAGTAGTAGTAGTGTAGTGAACGAGAACACAGGTGAGGGCAACCGAATTGTATTTAACGAAAATTACCGAGTTACTCAGTAATAAAATAGGAAAACCATATCGTTAATCGTTAATTTGCAAAATATCAGTTCATCATATCGAACTGGACTGTTCCTGTTGCAAAACATCAATCCATTGTCACTATTCATGCGTTTCATACAAATTTCATTGTGTTCTTCTAACTCTTCCTTTCTTGATCTTCCGCCCCCATCTTCTGCTGCCAGACATTACGTTGACACTCACGTCATATACTACTTATAAGTAGCTCGCACCACAGTAGTAGTAGTAGTAGTAGTGGCAGTAGTAGTAGTGAGAGTATTAGTAGTATTAGTAGTGGTAGTAGTATTAGTATTAGTAGTAGTAATAGTAATACTAGTAATGATAATAATAATAATAATGATACTTATTCTTCATACACTTAAATGTACTTATTTTATAAATTAATTCGTGTGTAATTTTGTTCAATATCTATCACTAGAAGATTTTAGTTCGATCATTGAGTTTCATGAAAACCAGATTATCGATAAATTAGGCAGTGGTCATAATTATTAGTTTAATGATGTTATTTATCAATAAGTTATTATTCAAATATTAAATAAATTAATTTTACATCACAGAACTGATATTCCAGTTAGTCAGCAACAACGTAGAACTTGGTACCTGTGTACATCAGTTGAAGCTGCCATACCAGATTACCATAGACTGATGGGATTGTCAATTGAAATCCCATAGTAGCATTGGTAGTCGAAGTACTAACGGTAATGGAGAAGATTAGAGATCAAGGATATGATGTAGCGAGTATAACCCAACCAGGTAGTCTACATTTACCAACATAATACAGTCAAGTTATCAGTGACTTCATGGATCTGTGCCATGTTTTCTTATGGCTGCTCCTAGCTTTCTACCAGACAACATCGCTCATGGAAGTAGTCAGTGGTAACTTATGTCCTAACTACCTCAAATGATGAAGATTCACTACTTTATCAACTGATTTGACATCCTTATTTAGTACCCTTTTTCTATCACCGGCACTTCTTAATCGGTAGTCCCAGGATATATGAGTAATGCTTCGAACACATTTATAATCGAATATTCATAACCTACGAATATCCTCAATTCTTATGAACCATGTTTTACACTTGTCTGCTAGGAATGAGCGAATTTTCTGCAGTATATTCGTCCTTAGGATAGTGGAAAGATATCTCGCCAACACGATAAGTGAAACAAGTTGGCAAAAGTCAGTCGAGCCTTCCGTATCCACGCTGAGATCTCGTCAGATATCAGGCCATCAGTACTGATGCGACTCCTCAGATAAGTGAAGCTGTCAAAACACTCAACTCCCTATCACTAGTCCAGGAGCCTATGGAAAATGATAACTCTGAAAGCGTGTCGATGGTAAGGTGAAACAGAAGTGGTAAAAGTGGATAACCTTGAAGAGCATCATTTGAAGCAATGAATTCCTAAGACAGTTAGTCACAAGGTTTGACTCGTCCAGCGGTGTTCCAGTAGAGAGGCTGTTCAAGGTAAATGTACTTTTTTTGGTACTTTTTTTAGTGACAGACATTGTAAGAGACCCTTACGATCAACAGAGTCAAATGCCGCCCTCACGTCGAGAAATACTACTGTTGTGGGATGTCTGAACGTGTTTTTGTACTAGGATTTGGCTTAGTGTGAATATCTGGTCAACACTGTCAAGTTCAGGTCGAAAGCCAGCCTGGTTTTCTCTAGTCTGCTACTCACGAGCCCTAGTTAGGCATCGGAGTATAATTGAAGCCAATATTTTAGACACTATGTTAGTTAAACTGGTTCCTCTGTGACTGTCACAAGAGGACTTTCGTCCTTTCTTATATCCTGGGACAATCAGTGATTGAGATCAGTCAGATGAGATAATATCCAGTTCCTAGTTCCTACCTAAGATCTCAGTCAGTCCGACTGCTAACACTGGACCACCATCCTTAAAAATCCCAGGGGTTAATCTATGAGATAGATAGAACTTCGTACGTAAGTACATCCGTTCAGGTTGCCATGCCCCATCAGCACAGAGACGCAACTGTCAGTTCAAATCCAACAGTGATAGCAATAATAGAATTATTAGCAGTAATGGAGAAGATTAGAGAGCGAAGATATGATTCGAGAAGTATAATTCAATAAGGTAAATTTAGAAGGAGAAAAGTAGAGATTATGAGGAATGCAGAAGCTTAGAATTTCATAGAACACAAAGAGTGGATGCACCTGTGCCTGGTGCAACTCTGATCAACTGACCTTGAGATTTCAACTCCCACCAGGAAAATCCATGACTGTGATTGGCTGCTGTGTATTTTAGTGTGCTATTTTCGTAACTGTCCCAAGGACGTTTCTATGATGTATAAATAAACGAGAGTTGTGTGCTTGATGGTATTGTGTGATTGCTGGGTGTTTGTAGAATATTCAAGGTAGCCTATCTGGACGCTGGTTCATTGTCTCGTTCGCGTTTATCGACTGAGGTGAACTCGTAATAGTTTCAAGCGTACTAAGTGACGAACATAACATTGTCTTAACTGAGATTTTATTTAGTAAATGGGATATTTTGTTAGTTTCGCTGAAATCTCATACATACAATTCAATGACTCATAAGTGCAAAAAACTTATATTTTGTAGTAGAAATTTCGATGAAATGATCAATAGTTTTACATTGAAATCTTGAATCAATTGTGGCTAGACCACCATTAGGAAGCTGGAAACACTGGATGATAGTTTCGTTCTACTATAAAACTCATCAATAGTGTGCATCCATGATCCTGTTATGCGGGAATCGAACCCAGGACTTTCGGTCATGAGTGCAAACGCAAAACCGTAGATTGATAAAAAGTTTGAAATTAACGTCACTGGATGACGGTTTAGCAGTCTAGAGGCTAATCGTCCGCTCGCAAGACTGAAGGCCGTGAGTCCGACTTCCTTGAGTGGGGGAGGGGGGTGCGTGAATAAACACCGTTAATGAGTTTTATACTAGGAGGAAACTGAAGTCCAATTCTGCCCGATTTCTAATGGTGGTCTGACAAGGAATAATTAAAGAATAATCTCCATAACTCTATAATGAAAAAAAAATCATAAAATAGTTCTATAAACAATTGTTTCAGCCTTTTTTTCGACTCTTATACTTGTCTATCGTTGTGATGTAGTTCATGATAAGATGATGAATTCACTACTCTTCTATAGTTGAAACATAATGATGATACATTATAACTGTTTCTTAGTCAGTTAGTCACAAAATCACGCCAAAATGAATAATTTGGATTAATGACAAAACCACCCGACAGAAGAAATAGTTGTTTGGTGAAACAAAGTATTTGTATAAAATATACTTAGTACAAAAGAAGTGTGATTGAATGTTGTAAACCATTTAGTCAATTGGATGGTTATACATCATTCACAAGCCAACAGAGTCACAGTCAGACTGTCTACATTATATACAGTTTAGTCTTAGAAAGCAACAGTTTGATTCATTTTAAATTTCGG